TATATATATATATATATATATAGCTCCTGATGCATACGTTGTTGAGCAACACTTTGAGGCACAGTTTTCTGTAACTTTCAGTCAGATTTCTGCACCTGTTAACAGGTATGCTAGTTCATTTTGCATGAGCAAGGTACTTTAATTTGTCTCTGACATAAGTTCTTTTTAAAACAAAAATTTTAAATAAATATTTTAGTTTACTAAATTATCATTTAGTGAATTAATATTTATTTTCAATGTTTCGGTTTTGTTTTATTTGAATTACTAGTGTGAACAAAAGAGGTTATTGATTAATAATAGCTTAGATGTGATTATATGTTATTATTCATTTCTTTAATACTGCACCTTAAAGCAAACCAAAGCTCACGCCTCCCTCGCATGAAAATCGCCTGAGTCACTCACAGTTTTTAATCCAAACAATTAAACTGCGTAATTAGGTAGCTACAGTTTCATAGATTCATTTTGCTTTTTTAAATTTTTTTAACTATAATGCAGGGGCCATTTTGATTGACATGAGAGGACACAGATTAGACATGTATGCTGCAGTTTTATTTAGTTGGGATCAGATACATAAACCACAAAATATTCATAAATACTGCTAGATTGTGGAAGTGATGGAGGGCATTCTGGTATTCATTGTGGTCTTAATACCACCTTTGCCCTCCCCTCTTGCTGCTGTAGGTTGTGGGTCCTCTCTTTTCTTCAGTCCACATGCTTTTTGTTGGATTTAACTTAAAGAACCATGACCATGCAATAGGCAGATAGTGTTCCCTATGAAATAGTTTTGTCCTGGTTTGAAAAATTTGTTATCCACTTATTAAAAAGAAATCCAATCTGAGGTTTCACCTTTCCAGAAATTTCCACTGGGAAAATTTTCTTCTGTAGCAAAAACATGGTTTTACATGTCTTTACCACGGGTACTAATAAATGTGGCAATCATTATAATAAAGGGAATGAAATATGAAAGTCCGAAAAAAATTTTTTTTACAGGGTTAAAGGCCAGAACAAGTTCTACTACTTAGATCAGATAAAAAACTACCATAATTGTTTTTTATTGTAGTCCTCTTTATTCCATGACATATAGTATTTCTGTGCAAGTGACGTTATATTTAAGATTTGTTGTCTCAATTTGATTTGTCTCAGTTTAGAACTTATTATAAATGGAGTTAATTTATGCTTGATTGGCTTCCCTTGTTTTTTTCAGGAAAAGGAATGGCTTTGTCTGAATTGTCAAGTGAAACGAGCTGCTGAAGGAGTTAATCCACAAAAAGAGACGTCCTTGGTGAATTTATCTAAAAAGACAACAGCGGCACAACCCGCCTCTCAAAAGACTTCTGCCCCAAGTTCTCCTCAGAAAAAAAAATCAACAGCAGAAGTACAGCAGGGTAAAAAAGAAGACCCGAAAATAAATAAGCAGGCTGGCCAAGGTCCTGGACCGAAAGCACCTCAAACGAACCAGAGAACCAATCCTGAGAAACAAGCAAACCATACCACTCAACCTCCACAACAAACAGAAAAGGCCAAATCACAAGAGTCTGGTGGCCTTTTTGGTTTTGGTAATCCTAAACATCAAGGTGATGCAGCAAAGCCTGCCGAATCAGTGCCTAGTAAAATGTTTGGGTTAGGCACTTCCATCTTCAGCTCTGCTTCAACTTTAATTTCTTCAGCTGTCCAAGAGGATCCCAAAATTAAAACTCCAGTTTCTCCCAAGATGTCCCCTGCAAAGGAATTAAAATCAGCTACAGTCAAAAGGCTAGAACAGGAGAATAAAGGGCAGCAGTTACAACAAGCCACAGGTTCCACATCAGCTCAGCCAAAAACAGATAAGCCTTCCTCAGAACTGCCAAAAAAAGAGTCAGTCTCACCAGTTATTTCCAAGGAATCTGATTCAACGTGTCCCCTCTGCAAAGTGAAACTGAATGTGGGCTCCAAGGATGCTCCAAACTACAGAACCTGCACAGAGTGTAAAAGCATCGTCTGTAACCAATGTGGATTTAATCCCACGCCAAATGTAAAGGAGGTAAGATCAAGAGATTTGAAATCAGTAATAAAATATTTTTGCTAAAATAGTTTTAGCATTACCTCTCTTAGTAATTAGGTGATATTTGAACTACAATGCTTAATGCTGTGTCCGGCCAAAATATATTGACAAGTCTAATTAAGTTTGCTCTTTTTCAGATGAAAGAGTGGTTATGTCTGAATTGTCAGGTGCAGAGAGCACTCGGGGCATCTGAACCTCCAGGAACACCTGTAATGAACCTACGGGCCTCTCCAAACAAATCTCCTGTCTGTCCTGATGCTCTTAAGACAAAAACTATGGTACAACAGAATACAGTTGCAAAAGAGTCCACCCCATCTGGTTCCACTCAGCAGAAATCTGAAAAACCAGCTGAGAAGTCAGCAAATGCTGAAGACAAGAAAAGACCTGAAAGTCAGGAACGTGAAACTCCAGAAGCTGGTCAGAAAAGCCTAGAACAAGACCACAAGAAAGGACAACATAAACCACCAGACCAGACTAGTCAAACTGATAAGAAGAAGGGTATTACATCAACTAAAGAAGAAAATGAAATGCCTTTCAAATCTGGTGCTTCCAAGGCTCAGCCTGATGCTTCAAAACCTGCTGAGTCACTCGGAGGAAAAATGTTCGGCTTTGGTTCTTCCATGTTTAGCACTGCATCCAATTTTATAACAACTGCAGTCCAAGATGAATCAAAAGCAATGGCACCAGTTTCTCCCAAAAGTCCTATTACAAAAGGAACCAAATTAATTAATGGTCAGAAACATGATTCAGAGAAGAAACCGGAACAAGGTCAGCAAACCAAAAGCTCTCCAATGATGCAAGCCAAAGTAGAAAAAGGTCCACCAGAACATGTTAAGGATTCAGTAAATTCAGATAGTCAAAAGGTCAGCCAGTCTACCTGTCCCCTCTGTAAGACTGAACTCAACATTGTTTCCAAGGATCCTCCAAACTACAACAAATGCACAGAGTGCAAGACAACTGTGTGCAACCAGTGTGGATTTACCCCAATGCCAAATGTGTCAGAGGTAATAATAATATAATATCATTAATAATAATAATATTATACCCAGTTGTACAAAAAAACATAGCATGTGTGTTTTTGCTGCAAATCAGATGTTGGATTCAATATAAGTTATCCCTTTCATTATTGTACCTATATATATTGGTATGAGGATAGTTAGCAACACTCGCATGTAGGGAACAACACAATGAATATCAAAATTATTGATATCTTTTGCTATTAATCAATTCTATTTCGCTCAGACAAAACCTACTATTGAGTCAAAAGATTTTTTTAACAAGCATAACTTTCTATGATGTGTTTCAAATTAATCTACAATTCACTTCCTTTAAAGTAGCTGCTATGTATCTCTTTGCTATAAAATACCAATTTTAGAAAATGGAAATGTTACAAATTGATCTAAAGCATGTGTTTTTGAACAATTGTTTTGTTTTTATTAATAAATTTAACAAGAATACTGTAGAGCGCCATTGCTGCCCTTTTCTGTTAACTGCTAAACATTGACTTTATTCTAAATAAGTAAATGAGTTAGAGTTTTAATCAAAACATTAGACATTTTAAGAACCATTGCTTTTCTGTCACCAAGAGTTTCAAATTCAGTTAAATATAGAATACTCTATTTACTTATTGAAGTTTTTATCTATTTTTTTTATTATATATTTAATTATCCATTCATTAGTTTTTTAAAATAATTTTAAGTCATCATGAGATTGAACTTTATATAAAAGAAATACATGAATTTAACTGAAATTTTCTATAAATGAACTTAGATTATAAATATTATATGTTGTCAATTCGCATATATCAGTTTTAATTTGTTACCAGACAACCTAACTTAGAGTTGGACACTTAACTGAGTTTATCTGCCACATTTCATGTGATTTCCCAATTCTTCCTTGGTTATTTTTAATTAAAACTCCATTAACTAATTTATATATTTACAATTCTATTGTATCCATGATACCAGAGGCATGTGTATAAACCAACATTAGTATTAGCCAATAACCAATTTAGCTAAGTCTGGAACTGGACTGAAGTTTATAAATTTGTATTTCAGAAGTAGTCTGGAATATAGTCCTAATCTTGTTTTAAAAGTGTTACTCTAATCCATATTAATTTGTGTTTTCTGCAGGTCAAAGAGTGGTTATGTCTGAATTGTCAGATGCAAAGAGCTCTTGGTGCCTCCGAAGTCATAGGACCTTCCATAAAACCGGGAATAGAAACAAACAAAGGTTCAAAAGAGGAAAGTCTAAATAAAGAAACACCTGACAAAAAGGTGGGAGCCTCAGTGTCGGAGTTATCTCAAAAGAAGGTGAGCTCCACACCTGGTTCTCCTCAGAGGAACATGCATGAGGCTTTAAAACCTGCTTCTAAAGAAAAAGAGGCTAAAACACAGCCAAGCCCAAGCACTGGTCAAAGTGTTCCAAATATGCAAAGTGTAACAAGTACACAGAAACACATTGTAGGGACAAGGAAGTCTGAGCCAAAACACAACGAGGAAAGGCGAGAGGCACAAAAGGAATCAGAAAAAACAGCTGGCTCAACATATCCTGAAAAAGTGACTGAAGCTTCAAAAACAACCGAGTCCTTGGGTGGTAAAATGTTTGGATTTGGCTCATCTATCTTTAGCTCAGCATCAAATCTAATAGCATCTGCTGTTCAGGAAGAATCACGGACTACACCACCTGCTTCTCGTAAAATGTCTGCACCACCTCAAATTTCTGGCAAGTTGTCTGTTTCACCCAAGATTTCACCCAAAACTACACCACCGGTTTCTCCCAAAATGTCCCCAAAAAGAGAGCCAAATGTTCTACCTCAAAAATCAGAGCAGGTAACAAAACCAGAGGAATCCCATCAGAAGAAAGAGGAGAAATCTACATCACAGCCACGTGTAGGAGTAGACCCTTCAAGATGTTCTGATGGAGGTGTATCTACCTGTCCACTGTGCAAGGGGGAGATGAACATTGGCTCAAAGCACCCTCCAAATTACAACACCTGCACTGACTGCAAAACTACAGTCTGCAACCAGTGTGGTTTTAATCCCATGCCTATGGGCGAGGTAAGTACACAGAGACAAACAAAGCCCCTCTTATAAGAAATGAAGTTATTGTTTTAACTGCACTCCTTTTCAGTCTATGAGAATTTTAAAGTTCGTTCTAGAAAAAAAAAAATATGATTTTGTGTTTACTTGCATTTCAGAAAAAAGAATGGCTGTGTCTTACGTGTCAGGTGAAAAGAGCAGTTGGACCCTCTGTACCATCAGGGCCTACTGCTTCAAAGGCCCAAACTTCACCCAGTAAATTTCCCTCACCTATGTCTGCTCAGCTGAAAGACCCCTCCAAACTCACTGCTACTCTCAAGAAGGATGATGTACATAGTGTAGAAAAATGCTCTGAGCCATCTGTACCTGATGGGAAAATTCCTCAAGAAAAATTAAAAGCAGATGAAAATAAACAATCAAATCAGGCAAATCAAACTGAACGCAGGCGGAGTAGCACTACTTCAGGAAAACAAGAGTCAGGGGGCTTTTTTAGTTTTATTGAATCTAAAGTTCAGCCTGACGCAGCAAAGACTGCAGAGTCAGCGAGTGTGAAGATGTTAGGGTTAAGTTCTTCCATTTTTGGCTCTGCTTCTACGTTAATAACCTCAGCTGTGAAAGACCAGCTCAACACAACACCACCAGTTTCTCCAAAGATGTCTCCCTCGAAAGAGAAAAAATCTCCAGCCTCTCCAAAAGTAGACCAGGGGAGAATGTCAGAACAGGAAGGGCAGCCAGAGGATCAACCAAAAACAAATGAGAACAAGCCTTCTACTTCCCAAGAACCTGACCAGAAGAAGAAAGCAGGACCATCCTTGCAGACAAAGACTCTACCACTAGCACAGGACAAAGTGGACATCAGCCAGTCACAGCTTTTAAAGCCTGAAGTAGATTCTCAAGAAAGTATCAAACCAGACCAAGCCACCTGTCCTCTGTGTAAGATCAAACTCAACATAAACTCGAAGGATCCGCCGAATTACGATAACTGCACTCAGTGCAAGAGCAGAGTGTGCAACCAGTGTGGATTTAATTTGATGCCAAACAATACTGGGGTAAGAGAATGAGTAAAACAGTAGAGTTTGTATTATTTTAAAAATATATTTTACAAGATGATTTCCTTGATTTGGTAAAACACATTTCCAATTCCAAACATTACTTTTATTTAACATTTTTCCTTCTGTTTGTAGGTCAAGGAATGGTTGTGTCTCACATGTCAGATGCAGCGAGCACTTGAAGTAACAGATCCTTCTGGAGGAGTTGCTTCTTTCAAACCTCAGACACCAGCAGAACTCCAAACAGGCATCAGCAGTCCAGTTGTGACTGAAAAGAAAGTCTTATCCACACCAAAGTCAACTGAGAGCAAATTGTCTGCACCTGCAGAGTCAGTTATATCTAAGACGGTTGCTAAACAAGTGGTTGATAAAGAGGCCAACCCAGTTTCTTCTGAGAAAACCCCAGTAGAGCAGCAGCAAATATTAACTCCCAGCAAATCACCAAGTCAAAAAAGACAAGCTGAATCTAAGCAGAGCAATGTGACTGCAACGCAAAGAGATTCAGGTGGCTTCTTTGGATTAGGCGGAGGGAAAACTAATGTGAACAAACCAGCAGACTCTGTTTCTGGAAAAATGCTTGGCTTTGGCTCATCCATTTTTAGCTCTGCCTCCACCTTAATAACCTCAGCTGTTCAAGATCAACCTAAGACCACTCCACCAGTATCTCCAAAGTTGTCCCCTGCAAAAGAGATTAAGTCCCCTGCTGCCCAGGAGATAAAGCAACCAGGTACTCAGCAGCCCAAGAAACCCGCTGTGGTGCAGAGCAAAGCCGACAAGGCTCAGTCAGTGGTTTCAAAGGACAAAGAAAGTGATGTCAAACCTGGGACCAGCTGCTTGCTCTGTATGGCTGAATTGAACATGGGGTCAAAAGACCCACCTAACTATAACACCTGCACTGAATGCAAGAACACAGTCTGTAACCAGTGTGGATTTGACCCCATGCCAAATCAGTTAGAGGTAAGAGAGCTTTCTATACTGACCCTGACTGAATTTTTGAAGAACCCTAAAAAATAGAAGTTTCTGCATCATTTAATTTCTACAAGGACCAATAAACCATCACTGAATTGAATTAAATTGAATAGAACTAAATTGTATTGAACGTAATCTGTGACAATTTTTTATGTTATATTGTGTAATAATGCTATATGCATTTCATTCATTTAGTTTTAAATGTATCGAATGTTTTCTTTCTTTGCTATTAATGTAGCATGACTAACTCAAATGTTATTTTCCTGACAGATGAAGGAGTGGTTGTGTCTGACTTGCCAGATGCAAAGAGCTGTGGCAGCAGCTGACTCAGTACAGCCTCCTGTCTTGAAAGCTCCTGCATCACCTGGCAAAATGTCTTCACCTGGCACTCCTAAGAATGATACGAGTAATCAAAAGAAATATAGTATTCCTAAAGAAGATCCCGGAGTTAGTGGAAAAGCAAAAGAAGTGCCACAGCCAGAAAAACACACTGTGAAAACTTCTTCCTCACTGATTTCTAAAAATGAAGCAGCTGAAGCTGCAGTCCCAACAAAAGATGAAAAAAACAGTTCACTCCATGTTGAGGATGTTTTAAAGTTGTCTGTACCTGAAAGTGAAGAGACAGGGCCTGTTAACTCTGATGTCAAACAATCAATGCCTACTCAATCTCCTCTTATTACCACAGATGAGAATACCCCACAATCAAAGGTGGAATTAGAAAGCAAAGAGGATAAATCCAAACTAAAAAAACCATCTGACAAAATTATCAAATCAACAGAGGAAGAACAGCATTTCGAAGCCAAAACACCTCAAAGGAAAGGCTTGGTGGTAGATATGAAACAAGATGAAAAGCAGAAAACACATGATACAAAGATACTAGACCAGGAGCCTGAAGCTACTCCAACAAAACAGAATGAAGATGATAAACGTAATATAGATTTGCCAAAACTAAGAGATTCCCAAGATGCACCCAAAAGGCTTCAAGCTGCTTGTCCACTCTGCAAAGTGGAGCTAAACTTTGACGGCAAAATCCCTTCCAATTACAACACCTGTACAGACTGCCAAACCACTGTTTGCAACAAATGTGGATTTAGTCCAATGCCTACCATTTCTAAGGTAAATGTAAATTTATTCAAGATTTTTGTTTTATATGAATGTGTCAGTTTTTTTTACTTTTTATATGAATCTATTGGTAATCTGTTAAAAACAAGCCAAGGTCTGTCTCCTTACAAAAAATCTATTATTGCTTTTTTTGTGTGTTTACAGGCAAAGGAATGGCTGTGCCTTAACTGTCAAATGCAGAGAGCTCTTGGAGCTTCTGAACCTCCAGGCCTCCCCATGATCAAAACACAACCTTCCCCAATTAAAGAGATCCCAGCCAATATACAGACGAAAGAAACCCAAAGAGTAGGTGTTTCCAAGGAAGAGATTTCTGAGCCAGTGACTCTGAGTAAGGACTTTGCTAACAACATTATTGCCAGAGAAACAGAAATATGTCCTGTTAGTGGAGTAGCAAAAGAGGATCCTTATTCAACTGTTTCAACTGCTGATAAAAGTGATTCCCTGACTGCCACAAAAGCAGATGGTTCAACAACTTTACAAAAGCCATGTTTAGATGAGACAAACGCACTGCCAATTGCAATAAAGCAAGAAACTGAAAAAGTTCCTGTTCCTAAAACTGATGTTTCAACAGATCAGCTGAAAGGAGGCTCATTGTTCCAAAAGCCTCAACAAGCTTCACCTTCAAATGAGTCTGTTTCTTTGCCAGAACAAAATAAGGCGAAGCAACCCCCAACACAAACTCCAAAACCTGAGAGCTCTGCCATCAAGTCTGCACCACCACCGGTTCAGGCTGTAAAAGCAGAGCAAAGTAACTTCTTTGGTTTTGGTGCTCCCAAAACACAGCCTAAAGCAGCAAAACCTGCAGAGTCTGTGACTGGAAAGATGTTTGGCTTTGGTTCATCTTTTTTAAGTTCTGCCTCTAATATGATAACTGCAGCTGTTCATGATGAACCTAAAACTACGCCACCTACTCCTCGTAAGATGTCAACCACAGAGAGAGTCTCTCCAAAGCCTACACCACCAGCCTCTCCTAAAACATTACCTGCAATGCCTGACAAAGGACCTCCTGTGCAGAGGAATGAGGACAAGAAATCAGAAAGACATCAGCAGAATAAAATCCCCCCAGCTGAACAAGTCAAAATGACCAAGTCACCATCAGAAGTCTCTAAAGCTCAAACAAATAAGGAAGATACTTCAGAGTCAGATCAGATAATGTGCCCAATATGTAAGATCAAGCTTAATTTTGACACTAAACACCCTGCAAATTACAACACTTGCACTGAATGCAAGACTACTGTGTGCAAGCAATGTGGATTTGATGCAGTTTCAAATATATCAGAGGTAAGAATCATCTCCAAAAAGTTACACTTATAGTTGTTTGATTTAACGTAACCCCATTATATCTTATTCAAGCAATGGAAATTGATGATTACATTTGGTATTTTGTATTCTTTTGGATTATAATTGTAATAACTCTTGTATTCTCGTGCATGAATTATTTGTTTTCTATCTTAGTCCATGGAAGTTTTATCTTGTATTCTCAATATTGACTGTAGTAAAAATACAATTGTTCTTGTGGTTATGATGACCCCTCTAATGTTCTTTTTCCAAAAACTGTTTATGTTATTTGCTTGTTTCAGGTAAAGGAATGGCTCTGTCTAAACTGCCAGATGCAGAGGGCCCTAAAAGTGTCTGAATCCACTGTATCTCCTGGGGGAAAACAGATAAAGAGCGACACACAGCTTCCTCTTGTGCAGAAGGAGAAACCTACAGTAAATAAGAACAATCAGAGAGAAGTCCTGAAAGCTACAACTCCATTGCAAAATGCTGCTACACCTCAGCAAGATTCTGTGCAAACATTACCGGTGGTTCCAGGTTCCAACCTGCAACAAGATGAGAAACCACCACAACTTAAGAGTCCTCAAAATGCAAAGCAAGAGCAAAAACCAGATATCACAAAACAAGAGGGTGGAAAACTACAACAACAACCTGTAAAGTTGGTCCCGCAGCAAACCAAAATGGCTCCACCAGTTCAGTCTACTAAAAAAGAATCTGGGGGCTTCTTTGGCTTTGGAGCCCCTAAAACAGCAGCTGCAGCAGCAAAATCTGCTGAGTCTGTGGGTGGGAAAATGTTTGGCTTTGGCTCATCTTTTCTAAGTTCTGCATCTACACTGATAACCTCTGCTGTTCAGGATGAACCTAAAACTACACCACCAACTCCAAGGAAAATGTCCACCACAGCAACCACCTCTCCTAAACCTACACCCCCAGTATCTCCAAAGATAACACCTGCCAAAGAGACAAAAATACCTGCTCCCCAGAAATCGGAGCCACCTCAAGAGGACAAGGGTACTACACCACCTCAACAAGACATGCCTTCTGCACCATCTAAACAGGCCAAACCTACTCCAACCTCTCAACAGGATAAGACTACTCCACAATCATCACAAGATAAGCCTGCTATTCCACATCCACAGGCTGAGCCTATTCTTCCTCCACAGAAAGAAAAACCTACCCTTCCACCTCCACAGGTGAAGACTACTCCACCACCTCAACAAGATAAGGACAAGCCTACTAAACAACCATCACAAGAAAAGCCTACTCCACCACCTCAGCAAGATAAGCCTCTGCATGCCAAGCCTAATGCACCTAATGCATCCCAAAAGGATGAGCATATTCCACTCCCATCACAAGAGACGCTTACTCCACCATCTCAGAAGGATAAACCTACTCCAGAACCTTCACAAGAAAAGCATACTCCACCATCTCAACAGGACAGGCCTACCCCACCACCTCCACAAGACAGGCCTATTCTTACCCCACAGCACGTAATACCTACTCCACCACCTCCACAGGCCAAACCTATTCTACCCTTACAGCAAGAAAAGCCTACTCCACCACTTCAACAAGATAAACCCCTGCATGCCAAGCCTAATGCACCATCTCAAAAGGACAAGCATATTCCAATCCCATTAGAAGAGAAGTCTACTCCGTCATATCAGAAGGACAAGCCTACTCCACAACCATCACAAGACAAGTCTACTCCACCATCTCAAAAGGACAAGCCTACCCCACCACCTCCACAAGTCAAGCCTATTCCATCATCTCAAAAGAATGAGCATATTTCACTCACATCACAAGAGAAGCCTATTCTCCCGCCTCAAAAGGATAAGCCTACCCCACCACCATCACAAGAGAAGACTACTCCACCATCTCAAAAGGACAAGCCTACCGCAACACTTCCAATAGTCAAGCCTATTCCATCTTCTCAAAAGGAGGAGCATATTCCACTCCCATCAAAAGAGAAGCCTATTTCACCATCTCAAAAGGACAAGCCTACCCCACCATCATCACAAGATAAGCCTACTCCACCATCTCAAAAGGACAAACCTGCCCCACCACCTCCACAAGACAAGCCTATTCCGCCAACCCAACAGACAAGACCTACCACATTACTGCAAGAAAAAGAAGAAAAGTTTCAACCAATACCTGCAAAGCTGAACAACGTTGTTCCTATACCAGCTGTGTCCACCTGTCCTCTTTGTAAAGCTGCACTTAATGTGGGATCAACAGATACTCCAAATTACAACACCTGCACTGAATGCAAAAGCAGAGTTTGCAATTTCTGTGGATTTAATCCAATGCCTCACACTTCAGAAGTAAGTCCAAGTTTTCTCATTTCTGCATTTTTTCCCATAAATAATGCAAAGATTGGTTATATGAATAACCTTAAATCTTGAATAACAATAGTACTAAATTTTATGGAGAGCTGTTTCTTTAAAAAATATATTAATAAATATTGCTATGAATGGGCAATAAATATTCCATTGAATAAAATGAAATAAATAAATATGTTGAAACAATTTTTAATCCTATTTCATTTAATGAGATTTCAAGATTTTTTTTTATTTATTCAAAGAAGTTTTAAGTTTTTTATTTATTTTTTATATATTTATTTCATAATGGGGTATTATTTTGTGAGACTTTTATTTTGCAAAGCTACTTTACCTTTACATTTTTCCTTTTAAGCTCCTTTTATTTCATGTTCTTATATTCACGCAAATAAAAGTCACTTAAAACATAAAGTAGCTTTACAAAATAAAAGCATCAAAACATAATACTCCATTATGAAATTAATAAATAAATAAATTACATAATTACATAATTAATAAGTGTCTGAATTATAAAAAAATCTTGAAATATAATAAGGTCAATATTATTTAAATATAGATTTGTATTTAATGGGGATAGCTATTTAATTAATGGAATATTTAATGAAATATTTATTGACAATTTATCAATAACAGTATATTTTACTTGAACGCAAAGTTGAGAGTGCAGCTTAAAACAGAGGCATTGTAGATACTTGACATTTTGGACATTTAAGACTTTTCAGCTTAGATTTTGTTATAGATTGACTTTAAACATTATCATTGTTTGATCTAAGGATATTCTATCATAATCTTTGATTGATCTCTTTAAAAGAAAAACATGCTACATAACCCAGTGCATGAGGGTTGTCTTGTGGCTTTTGTTTCTTGACTCAGCAGGTCAGATTTGTTATGCAACTGCATTGTTGACAGACTGGCAGTATGGAAAAAGTATTAAAGGGATGATTGATGGTTGTGCAACAGCATTAGTGAGATGGGATCTGCTGCCACTGGAGACCAGGAGTCAGAGAACTCCAAACCTTTTGAGAGATTTGAGATGGCAAATCTATGTGATATGCCAATAAGAGGGGGTGAAATTGATTAAGACAAAAAACATGATACATTCCATCTGTCCATCCATCATCCATCCATCCATCCATCCTGCATCACTGACTCTGACATTTCTTGTCAGTCTGTTCTGTCTGGTATCAATGGCTTTTAGTGTTTCAGCTGTTATCCCTTATTTGTATGGCAGTTGAAACAACATACATGTATTTGTTTCTACATAGGCAGCCTATGGTTGATGAATGTATGTGTACCCATGTCTACTTGTTATTCTTAGGTAGTTTCAGTTTGTTTGTTTTTTTCAGTGGCATCCTAAATAAGCAAGCTAAAAAGATGTAGTAAATGCATTTGACAGAATATTGACTGACAGATACTGTCTTGGGGATAGGAATAATCTCTGATACACCAAACAACAATATTCTGAGATCAAAGAAGGTACCAGGTATGAATCTCTGCCTAGGGGAGTTTGTAGGAACCCTCCCTATGTGTGTTCTTTCTCCATACCCTTAAACTTCTGCTCACACACACAAAAAAAGAAATAAATAAAAAACAAGTTAAGCCATTTGCTCTGAGTTATCCTTAGATATAAGTGTGTGCTTATGTGGTTATTTATCCAAGTTCTCCTCTGTCTTTTGCTTAATCTCTTCTCAAGATACAATAGGTGTTACTTTCTGTTGAAAATGGATGAGTGGATGCTGTTACTTTATTTGATTTTGTAGAGTAAAATATGATTCACCAGAACACATTCAGCCTTAATAACAGGTTCTTATATAGAAATATTATAGAACTTGCAGATGTGCACATTGCCTTTTGTTTAATTACACCAGAGAATGCAAGAGCCTAAAAATAAAAACTGATCTAGGGAAGGGACCAACATATATTTCTGCTGTGTTTACAGTGCAGATATATCCCTCTAGGCAAAACAGAATTAGCCAGGCCCTGGCAGAGCTGGGCATAAAAAAAAGCTTACTCTCCTTTAGTGGCCTTTATGCTTGTCAGTTTTCTATAGTTACTTTTTGGTGAGCTTTTTTAAACAAGAGTCAGAAATGCACACTTATACAATTTGAAAGGACTTGTAATGTTTGTAAGAGGAGTCTGCCTTAGGCAAGTGCGAGGAGAAATTCTATCCATTTCTCTGTGTTTTCTGTTTTGCTACTGCTGATGCTGTTAAAAGCCTTAGACTGACTGTTATCTGATAAGTAGGGCACACGTGTGTCATGACAGAATCGGCCTGTTTGTGGATGCTGAATTCTGGTATGGTAGCTTTATGGTTGTTCATTTTGCATTGGTTGAAAAGACAGAAAATCTAATGTCTGCTAATATTTTCAAAGATGCAGAAAATGCTGTTGATGAACAAGGTTACAAGTTATGAGGATTAATATATGCAATGGATGTAAATAAGTGCATTCATATTTGAAATTACAGTCTATAACTAAATACCTTACATGGTATATTTTAGTTAAAGAATTATCTAAAGTGATGAAATAACAAGTTTTACTGTGCAGTCATGGGTGAAAAGCTTTGGGTTTAGCTGAAGCTACTGTTTTTACACCTAACAGCAGCTGAACATAGTCTCTTAGGATATTCCTAATCCCTTCAGCAACTGGCAAATTCATGACATAGCTTTGCAGTTTACATTGAACAGCCACTGTAAAATAATGAAAATAGTTATATTCTTTTTCATTTTTGTATTAGATACACATTCAAAAAGGTAGTAAGAAATACAAGCAAGTCCTAAAATGTAGTTTACAACTTCAAAATTGATCCATGGATTTGCATGTTACGAATACTCATGTTGAGAAATGGCAATCCATAAAGCAGGGATCACCAACCTTTTTAAGGCTGAGAGGTACTTCATGTGTGCTGATTCATAGGAAGGGTTACTAATACTGACCTATGAATGGAGGAGTCAGCGTTTACCTTAACTTCATGCATAATAAACATATTTTTATGCTTATATTAATGTATAATTTTCTTCTAGATATTGTCAGTTTGAAATTCCTATAAATGAAGATTAGAATAAAAAAGAAGAGCAACAGAATAAGATAAATTTTCAAATTTAACCCACTTGTGGATTGTGCTGTCTTCAGAAGATGCTGTGGGCACACTATGTAGTCCTTGAGGGCCCCTTGGTGCCTGTGGGCCCCATGTTGGTGATCCCAGCCATAAAAAAAACTTTAAACCAAATTGAAATAGGCATTCTAATTAGAAACTAAAGAAACAAAACCATAAAATCCATTAGTTTCTTTCCTAATCTTCAAAATATTATTGATATATTTTTTATGATTAAAAACCTACATAAAAGTATTGATGTGGCAAACTAATTTTCTATTGAAGAGAATAATGAAAATAATTCTCTAAGAGGAAGCAAAGTTTATGTTTTTTTTATATATATATTACTACATAAGCATTCACTTTGTAGAAAATACAGTACATCATATACATTATCTGCTGGAGAAGTTTTTAACCAAATTTCTGCATGAGACTTAATTTTTATTATTGCAACTGAATGCTCTTTTCTACTAGAAATCCGTGTAGAGACTAGCCAGGTAAAAGAAAATGTATTTATATTATTTAATTTATTTCATACAGCTGCAATATACCCCTTTAAAATGTTTTTTTTTTTTTCAACTATAAGGTTACAGTTTCATGTGTCCCTCAAGCTGCAGTCACACATATTACATGAGCCTGTCTTGTTTTTTTCTTTTTTAGATTTGTTTTTTTTTTACTGTTACTGTTTTCTAAAATATGCTCTGCCTTATAGTGAAGTTTCCTAAAAGAGCTGCAACTGCAAAATAAAACAATCTGCTTATCACAGATTAGCAGGTAAACTTTTACATTATTCCAAGCATTAATATATAAAAACTTTGGAGTTGCATTAAGCCTAGTATAATGTAATTGCCAACAGCACTGCCAAAAAAATCAATAGGAACCTTCCTGACTCTAAAAAAAAAAAATTACTTAGACTAAAAGATCATAACATTACTAGCTGAATATAGTAATGGTCTCATTTCAGGAATTTCCAGTAAAAACCCTATCTCGGTTTAATTATAAAAGACAAACTTCAAAATTACATTCAGCTGATGCTTGTTTATGCTTTAGCTAACATTCAGAGGTGCAGCAAAAGCTAATCACACAGCAGTCTGTGAGGACATCTTTTTTTATAGCTCTCTGCAAGGAGATCTTGCCTATTCCTCATAAGTCAAATACAAACAAAAAGGTAATCGTACATTTCCAAGAACCATATAGGTGGTGATGTGGTTAAGATGCAAAAACATATCTAGGATTTGACTTGATATACGTATTAATAGTAATACTTATAATGATAAGTTTTTTTGTGACTGGCCAAAATATTTCTATTTAAGAACTACTACGTTATGCTGTTAATGCTTTAGGTTGGACAGTGTTTTTGAGTGAAGGAGGTTTAACATTTGCTTTTCAGTATGCTCTTTACTAAACATTTAGATGTCCAAGATCAAGAGAGAAGGCAGATAACAATGCTATTCTATCTAGTATTGTAAAACAAGACGACACAGTTGCTCTTTATGATTCTAATAAGCTTTCATCCTCTCTCTGTCATATATATATATATATATATATATACACATATTATATTGAGAGAGTGGCCCTATTGGGCATGCCCCCAGCAACGTAGGGTGCAGAAAGTGACCTACTTGTAAAGTGATTTGTTTGTGCACATTTGTGCAGTTAAAACCTTAATTTTTGCTGCCATTTTTATGCAGCTGATGGCATCCCCATCTGAGCAGAGTGCACCAATACAACCGAAGATGACTACATTTTCAGTGCTTTGTTAGTGCTGTTCTTGTTTCTGATTTCAGATCCTTCCATTTGAATCAGTTGCTACCTATAGCAACCGCAGAGCATTTTCATCAAAATCTTACAACTGAAACTACAAAGAAACAACATGTGAAACCTGACATTGTGCTCTATGACCATTAATTTCTGGAAAAGCACAACCATCACAACAATTGAAAGCAGCCTTCGCTACGGATTTAGACACAAAGAAAATATAAACACTAAGGATATTTTATTTTTATTTTTTTATTATTATTATTTGGGGGGAACAAAGTATTGGCTGGGAATTATGAAATTGGTCATATTATTGAATAAGACATTCACTTCCTGCTCTGAGTCTTTTTAAAGAAATAAAGGTAAATACAACAGTATCACAACTCCAAATAATTCAAGCTAAATTTTAACATCATAATAAGGACTGATGGTGAATAATTTATTTGTGATGGTGGTGATGAGGTCTCGTGCAGACTACAGATGGAATTAATTTGGGTAAAATTAGGTGATTTCTACAAAGTATTGCTTAGAAACCAGAATAGCCCAAATTAAAGTTTCACATTAACAAAGGGAGCACTAAAAAAGTAATCTACTTTGGTTTGTTTAATAACGTCATCAGCTGAAATAAAAAAAATATGTTATAAAAACCAAAGAAGAAAAGTTTTCACTGCAAAAATCATCACTACTGGGGCACTAAAAGAGTAGACTGCTTTGGTTGAATTCCGAGACCAGTGGGGGGATCATGACCTCTGGATTAACTGAAAAAAATTGTGTTTGTTATTTTTAGCAAAAGTAGCAATATTTACCATTTTAACTGACAAAATCTGCAATAATGAAGCACTAATCGTTCATTTAAATTTTCCAAGTTTTTTTCTTGTGGATGGGGTGTCAGCTTCATACGGTTCCCCAGGTAAAGTCCTGACTCAGATCTAAGTTAGAAACTTTGTACATAGCCAGGTGATGGCGAGGTGGTTGTTCTGTCCTGAAAGACTTAAAAAGCAACTCAGAAAATGTTGAAAGGGCTTAATACTAATTAGGGATTATTTTTTTAGATTGATTAACAAGAAACCTATGGATAATGTTTTGTATGGCATTTCCAAATAAAATAAAAACACTACTCAACTTTTTTATTTGGATTTATTATTTGTTTTTTAATTATTTTTTTTTCAGTCATTTGTTTTACCTGTATCTTACCCAACAAAAAAAACGTTTAGTTGTCTAAAACATAACTTTAGGCAGAAATTGTAGTATGTACGGCCAATTGTTTAAGTTATTCATTGTATGAATAACTTATAAGTATCTACGAAGTGTATGAGAAAAAAATAAAGGCCACAGACAGGGCAGCTATATCCTGGAATGCTTTGCACAGAGAGCTTTCCTGTCACAGCAGCCCGCTGTTGCCATAGGCTGTCGTTACCTGACAGCGGCAAGTAATAACCAAGATGGCGCAGGCACCACGCAGTCAAGGAGAAGTTACGTGACCAACGGAGCAAAAAGCAGTGATCAGAAAAAAAAAAAGCAGTGATCATCTGTCCGTACGTTGTTCAGTTAATTGAGTTTGCAATAAAGTTAACTATATACTGTGGTCCCCGTTCTATACAGTGATTGAAGGATTTAGGGGTTAGGGTGGACATTCGGGCACAGTAAGCTTATATGAGCCAAGAGAACGGCAACTTTTAAACAGAGCTTGCACAAGGAGAAATGGGTTCGAGCATGCTCTCGCACATGCTTTTTTTTTTTTTTTTAAGAGGAGAGGGTGGGTCTTGAAGAAAGTCCTGCACAATACCTTTAAGTTACTGCTATCCAGAGGTGTAAAGTGACAAAGTACAAATACTTTGTTACTGTACTTAAGTACGCTTTTTAGGTATCTATACTTTACTCTATTACTTTTTTTTCCTCCTACTTCTGACTTCTACTCATTACATTTTCACACGAGTATCTGTACTTTCTATTACTTACATTTTTAAAACAAACATTACTTGTTACTCTTGGCTTCAGTTTAATGCAGAGGTAATGGATTAGAGGACTGCAGTCTGGATCTGGATCCCCCTGCAGGCTAATCCGGACCCAGCCTAATTTAAAACATCTATAAATTACCACATGCTGCCTGTCGACAGTGTCTAAACGTCACTTGCGCCGCGTCTCCTCTCCAGACCTCCTGCGAAAAGCAAAGCCTACAGCCTCCGCTGTTCCTCCCGTATTGCTGCCCTCCGCCCTATCCTCAGAGCTCGAGGAGAGCACATGCTATATTATCATTAAATTCGTAGGAGAAAAACATGCAGAAATTAATGCTTAATTTAATATGACATATTAAAAAAAATCCCCATCAGCATTCAGCATATGTGCCATTTCTGATGGAGATGAGAAATCTGCTCCCTGGTATGTTGAAGCACCAATAGTTCGCTGTTCTTTTTCCCGTTTGGTGCGATTGCAATAGCGGATCTTGACCTGGCCGGACCGGAGCGGACCCTGCACATTTTGAGTATGTTTGGCTCAACCTGCTGCTGTAAAGCAGGATTCTTCACCACAATGAACACAATCAAAAATAAATATCAATCCAGGCTCAAAATTAGCACCTTGATATGTGCTTGAGAATGACTTTGTCGCCATTTAAACCCAGGTTTAAAGCCTTGCAGGGCAGCCTAAACCCCACTGCTCTCATTAAGCCTGAAAAAAGAAAAAAAAACAACAGTCAGTTCAGGTGTTTTAAAAAAAAAATGTGAATCAGGAAATTGTCTATAAACCAAACTGAAAGATTGTTGTTCTCTGCTTCAAAAAAACTTTAGATTTTAAAATGGAAAAATTTTCTATTTTTAATTTTTTTATATATATATTTTTATTTATTTAAAAATTCAATGTATAATATGGATGCATAAACACCTAATTTTATTTCAGTGTTAAATTCCGTTTAAAGTAACAGATCATTAAAAATGTCTCCGGACATTTACTGGTTGATACATTTCTTTATACGGACCCCGCTGATTTTTAATTGGTTACCCCGGGTTAATTTTTTGAATCATTGGCGCCATACACATCTAGTGAAAACTAGTGTAATTGGATGAGTCATATAACGCAAACACTCATTGGTTAGCTATTCGTCAAATTTGAGCTTACGCCCAAGGAAATCATCAGAAGCAAACAAATGTTCTTCAACCTGCAAACGTGAATTGTCTATGTCATGCTACAATGTCGGATTCAGAAAAAGATGTTGAAATGTCTGAAAGGTTAAACACAGGCAAGAGCGTATCGGGAGATGGAGACCAACAAGATCCCCTTCATTCTTGGCCATATCTAAAAGAATTTTTTGAAATAGTCGTAAAATTGATCTTTTAATTCATATAGTGGCATCTGGCTGGTTGTTTTTAAAGGTTACTTTATACTTTTATATCTTAAGTAGTTTTTGGAGTACATACTTTTTTCACTTTTACTTGAGTAAAGTGGTCAAGTTGATACTTCAACTTTAACCAGAGTATTTTTAATCTGCAGTATCTATACTTCTACTTAAGTAACAAATGTGTGTACTTTTGACACCACTGCTGTTATGTCTGGTGTAATCCCTTCAAAAGAAAATCGTATTTTTGGATCTGTGATGTGTCTAGATCACTGTGAACAGTGATGCTCTAACAATATTATGTTGCTTTTGTTTTCTCTTTTACAGAACGAATGGCTGTGTTTGACGTGCCAAACTGATAGAGCTTTGTCAGGGCAGCTGGGAGACTCAGGAAAAATGTCCCAACCTTCACTTGTGCCAGCCAAAGCTAAAACCCTGGGGACGTCTGTTTCCGAAATGACAGATCCAGAAACTTCACCCATAAAACCAGAGCCCACACCTGGAGCAAAACCCACAAAACCTGTTCCTCCTTCAGTTGAGGATGTACAAACACTTCCAAATGTAAAATCAAATGTAGAACCTGCCAAGATGGAATCAATAGTTACTGTTCCTTCCACAGAAAATGAACTGGAGAGAAAACCCCTAGCCACCATGGCAGATGGTGCATCTGTTGTCCCAGAAAAACTTTCTCTCACAGATTCCCTTCAAGAATCTTTCTTAACAGAGCCTGACGTGTCAAACACCATTTCCTGCATGGAAACTGTTAAAGAGGTTATAATGTCTGAAGTTGTTCTAGAGCAAAAAGCAAAGCCAGAGCTCTCTGTTGAAGGGAGTACAAGTGCTGAGGTGCAGACTTATGAGCATATCAAGCTGATGGACACAACATATTCTACACAGGAGAAAATGCAACCACACTTGCCAGAAAAGGAGCTGGCAGTAGAGTCAGGGCGAAAAACAGCAGCTGGCAGCAAGGAACTGGATAAGGCGACTGAAAAGGGTGCAGACATCTCCTCAACTCAACTTTCACAGCCACTGTCTACAGAGACCATAACAAAAGTAAGTTTTTTTCTTAAATGAATATTAAAGTTATTCATACCAAATTGTGGCATTTGGTTGAGAGATTTTACTGCATTTTTGATTAAACTGACTTTAATACCAAATACTAGCTCTATATTTAAAACACCACGGTTCAGCATTACTTTATATTTTCCCTAAAAAAGGGCAGCTGATTTGAAAAGAAAATCCTTCTGTTAATGTGACCTTGGGTTTGTCTTAGAGCAGGGGTGTCAAACTGGTTCCAGAAAGGGCCAAGTGGCTGCAGGTTTTCTTTCCAACCAAGCAATAGCACACCAGACTCCAGTCATTTCATAATGTCATCATGTTCAGATTGGACTCACTTGATGAGATGATAGGAGTCTGGTGTGCTATTGCTTGGTTGGAAAGAAAACTTGCAGCCACTCGGCCCTTTCTGGAACCAGTTTGACACCCCTGTCTTAGAGTAAATTATAATTATTCTGTAGTCATTCATTCTGTGGTCAAAGGAAAGTTCCACATGTGAAAATTAGTGGTGTCACTTCAAATTTTGCTCTGCTCAAGGTGGGCACACATTTGACTAGATTTTAATTTTTTTTATGTTTTTTGTTTCTGGTGTGAAAACTGGAATAATTTTGACAATTTGTTTTTTTTGTATACTTGTTATAATGCATAACCACAGCAACCATAGCAAGTAGTTTTTTTTACACCCAGGCGCAGCTTCTTGAGAGGACTCTATCTTATACTAGAATTTGGAGGTGTAGAGTAAAAAGTAATGATAAAAGTACTATCTCCTGTGGTGCTTCTGTACTGTTGACTACCTGTTTAGGAAAGTGACCCTTCAGCTTTGCAGACCGTGGTCATTTTTTCTTGTAGTTTTTTTATCCAGGCAGTTGTTGATACCTCCACCTGAGCCATCTTGATTTTCTGATAAAGTCAAGCTGAATTGTATTAAATGCACTGGATAAATTATAGAATAATCCTCGCAGTACTGCCTGCCTTTTCTATTGCAGGAATTCTATGATGGCATCTTTAACTCCAATATGCAAACTGCAAAGGTTACTGATAACTGCTTATTTGCTTGCTCACGTGGTCCGACAGAAGTCTCTCTGGGACCTTTGTTTGTTATGTGTGATATCATAGCTACTGGTCTAAAGTCATTGAGGACTGTTGGCTGAGTTTCTTTGGTACTGGAAAAGACAGTAGGTTTTCTACATTACTAGAACTGTCTTCTTGTTCAGACAAAGGATGAAGGGGGTCTATACACTCCCACAAGAGCTGCTCTGCACAGTTCTTTAGAACTCTGGGGATGACACCACTTGGACCTGGTGAAATATTGCAATTCAGTCTCCAGCTGCCTCTTTATTTGACATACACAGACAGATGGGTTGAAAGCGAATTGAGCAGCACCATAATTTGATTTGACTGAGAACAAATGCATAGAAGCAGGAGGGTCCATTTTTGATTGACATTTCAGGCGTGGCAGAGAATCTTTGGGTCAAAGGAGAGCGGGATGCCTGTTCCATTGTGGGCATTGAGAGAAGGATGTTGAGCTTCTTCCTGAACAGAAGTTATTGAAGAAAGTGCTTAAGTCAATTGCTCTTTCTAGAGTTCTCTGATATTCTTCTGTATCTGCCTGCTTCCCAGCTTCTCCCTGTATATCTACTTAGTCTCTCTTATTTTGACTTTAATTTACTCCCGTATTTACCCCTCAATAAGTCCTTGTCTGTCTTCCTGAAGAATATTTTTTCTTGTTATCAGTTCCTCTAGGTCACTGGTGATCCTAGAACTATTATTTGGGGAATGTTTTCACTGTTCTATTGGGGAAGTTGTTATCTACACAAAAATGTATGTAGTCAGTCAGACATTTAGTCATTGCATTGATGTGTACATGATGCTTTCTAATCTATAGCATCAAAACCTTGCAGTTTGTCTCTTATAGAGGTGGTTATACTTTAAGCAGAGAAAAACAAGAATGTAAAATGATTTCCCAAGGGGAGGTCTTACATTAGAGACATAAGAGTCCCTAACATCTGCATAAAGCAAGCACAAAGTTTCGTTTTCTCTGGTAGAGCAGCTGACAAACCTTTGAAATGTTGACACAGTTGAGAGGGAGGTATGCATAAAATCAGCAGTTATTGCCACAAACACATTTGGCTGTGGTGTCTGTAGCTTAGCAACAACAGAACCGATCACTACACATGCAAAGTAATGTATGTAAAAGGTTACAAAAGGAACACTGGTTAACACTGGACAATTAATACAGAAGAAAACAACTGTTAACAGTTTAATAACTGGGCTGCAGAGACAAATCTTCACAGTATCATATCCTAGCTGACACCCTCTGTTTTTCAAAAGCACTGCCAATCGACCACCCTTTAGTTTACCAGCCTTCTTTAAATTTGCCAGAAAGCCTGGCAGAGAGATGCTGCAGTCAGGGATATGATCCTGCAACATTTCAGTAAAGCACATAGTACTTCATTGCCTATATTCTGGCTGGATCTTTGCTGGGACTTGCAGTTTTTCAAAGTTGTTTGTAAAGATCACACAATGCCCATAATTGATTGATGGAAAATGCAGGTTAAATTTCCTGCTCCTCTCTCTTCTTTCTCCTCCTGCCCTGCATTCTCAGCGCCTCCTTTTCAACACAGCTGGAACTTGCGGTATTTGCGGAAGAAGTATTATTTATTATAAGTATTCTATTTTTGTAAGTTTTATATCAGCTTTAGAGATGTTGATAAGCTGCTTTCAGGTGTAAAAAAAACAACTTGCTATGGTCGCTATTGTTATGCCTCATAATAGCCAAAAACCTCCAGTTGCAAAGCATTAAGCTCTAGAGGTGAAAAAATAAAAACAACTGACTGATCCACAAACAGAGGAGCTGAAGTTATCTTAGGAACATTGGAATCAAGCTAGCATAGCTACTCCAACATGCAGCCACCTTAAACGGGGAATTCTTTAATTAACTTATTTATTTTTCCTTTTAGTAACAGTGGAGAAAGACATTGAATCTAACAACAGCAATTACTTTTTTTCTTCTTTTGACCTTTTTAAACATTTTCTCTATGAAAGCTTAATATAGCTTATAGCCCCATGTCTGAAGTACTGCTTTGTCTTAATAACCTATAGAAAGGTGAAAAGAGGACAGAGGGAAAACTACCAAAATATGTATGGAAAATGGTTTTAATCTGATTCAATAAGTACAACCAAATACAATTCTGATTTATTTTTCAGATTGCGTTACCCACTGTTTATATAAATTCACACACCAACATACTGAATAACATTTTCCTCTGCATTACAAACTTTTTTTTAATCAGTTATTAATATGAAATACACAGCTAAAAAAATTTAACATTTAAACAACACAATATAAATTGAATAAAATCAAACTTCTGTGAAATCAAACTGTTCACTTAGAAAGCAACACTGATTGCCAATCAATTCCACGTGCTGTTGTGCAAATGGAATAGAACACATGTAGAAATTATTAGCAATTAGTAAGACACACTCAATAAAGGAGGGGTTCTGCAGGGGGGATCACAGACTTTTGTGAGACACTTTTCAATAAAGTAGGGGATTAATTAAAAAAAATTCATTTGATTTTTATAAATCAAAGTCACCTGCCCAACAGCAATGATGAGCTGCATGGAATTATTGTATCTCAAGCAATTGTAGTATCTAGTCAAGAGCTGTCTGTCTGGTAAGGAATCTGGTTGTTATTTGAAATATTAAAGGTGCACTGTTGAATTGCAACATAAAACTGACTAAAACCTGACTAAGGCCCCGTCCACACGAAGACGAACCCTGGCCTAAACGCACAAATTTTTCACCAAACCAGCCTCTCATCCACACGAAGCCGGCGTTTCGGGGGTCTGTAAACGATCTTTTTTTTTATTCAGCCTTCAGAGTGGGAAGATTTCGAAACGCCGTTTTCGCGTTTCCATCTTTACGCTCTAACCGCATATTTTTTTTTTACACGCATGCGTCATAGCGTCGCCTCTAAACACGCATGCGCGACCAGTATCACAACAACAATGGCGCCGTTGATGCTAATGCTACTCACCCTGCTGTCGGGCTTACAACAGAATCTTCTTCTTCTGGAATATCTCCAGGAAGAACAGAGCAATATCGACGACATAGTTCAGCACCTGAATTTGACTTAACCACGAAAATGGACCCGCAGGGCAACCATGTATAAATATTAGTGCGCATGCCCAACATTTCGTCGCTTATTTTTGCTTTGGCACCACAGTGCCACTTACAGGCCTGGCATACATTTTGCAGCGTTTTCATGCATTCGTGTGGACGCTCACATGTATTTTACGTCTCCGTCGTTACGGCAAACGTTTTGGAAAATATCAGCGTTTCGTGTTCGTTTTGACTTCGTGTGGACGGGGCCTAAAACCTTCTTGAGTTTTAGTTGACCAAATCTGGACTAAAGCTATCACATAAAGTAATGACTAAAATGCAACTAAAACTAATAATAGTTTTCGTCCTGAAAACAACATTTAAGACTAAATCTCAGGTGGCTGTCAAAAACCAATGGCTTGAGGTACTAACAGGAGACAGGCCATACACATAAGTTATGGAGGAGGCCATAGGAGGGTGACAACCCAGCTGCAGGACTACTACCTCCGCCTTTGTGCAAGAATGAACAGGAGGAGCACTGCCTGAGCCCTGCATAAGGACCGCCAGTAGGCCATAAATGTGCAAATGTCCAGGCATCCATTGGTTAATACATTTGATTGCCGTTGATTATTTTTATGTGATTTTGTTTTGAGCACAATCAACTTTGAACAGAACAAAGTATTCAGTGTATATATGCACTGATAAAGATGAAATAATTATTTTTTTGGGGGGAGGAGGGGTATAATACCAAATGCTGTTGAATTTTGTTTTTTTTTGTCTCCAAATAAATCTAGAAATATATTTGGTTAGCAACAGAAAAAACAAATGTTTTTCAAAAGGACTGTATATAAACCGTCACTGTCTAATGTGGGTCAGGTTTATTTAGTCCGTTTTTTTTGTGTGTGTGTGTCTCAATTTATCATTTTTAATAATTAATTAAAAATTGACTAATATTTTTCATATATTTATTTTTAGGGTTCAGGTGTCACCAATGAAGAGCCAGCAGAGGAGAAAAAGGTTCACTCTCACACTGATCAAGGAACAAATAAAGCCAGCTTGGGAAAAGAAGTGCATGATAAGGATCAACCCCTGATTATACCTCTACTTCAGGAACAACCTGAGGGGAAGGTACATGACCAAGACAAAGGTGATTCTAGTATGGATTATTCTATGCCAGAAAAGGAGGGAGTTAAACCAGAAAGACGGCGTCTTAGTTTCCAAGCAGTGGAAGAGAGCAGTGAAAGTGAGGTGACACCTTCCTCATCCCCTAGAATGCAAACAAGGATCTTAAAGGTCAGCACTGTTTCATCCAGCAGTGAGGAGAAAACTGAAGGGGCTGATTCTTCCATTGAAGATGATGAGTTCATCCGCAAGCAGATTTTGGGTATGGGTGATGAGAGCTACATGTCTTTATCAGAAGATGAGAAAGAAAACACTTTGGAAAATGTGGAAGCTTTGAAGGACAACACACTTGACAATGCATCTATAAAATCTAAATCTTTGTTTAACAAGGATGAAGTGGATCTTGACTCTCAAATCCAGACCGAAGTCTCCAAGAAGGATGATACAACTTCTCAAAACATTCCAGAAACTGTTCCAAATACTACTTTTAAGAAAGCTACTCCTGTAATGAGGCAGCGACAAAGCACTGATGAAGAAATAGAGAGTATCACAGAATCATTGTCAAAGGGTTCATCCAGTGTTCAAGCTTCAAGCATTACTCCAGGGTCTTCCCCTACATCAGTTTCATCTTTGGAGGAGGACAGTGATAGTAGCCCATGTAAAAAGAAATTTAGTCAGCAAAGACAGCATCGTAAAGGTAGACACAGTCAGACTAAGCCTCTCCCTATTATAGATAACTCCTCTGATGAAGAAAAGACAAAGAATCATGAAAAACATCTGTCTTCACTCAGCGATGTGTCCTCTACAGAAGATCTACGACATGTGACTGTCATGGATGAAAGTAATAAAAAATCTGGTACTGAGTGTTCAGCCAGTATAGAATTTGAACCAGATATTAAGAGGGCTGTACAAAAAGGACGGAAACCTTCAACAACAGTCATACCTTATACCCCTTCTGATCAATTTGAAGAAAAAGGCACAGTAGGAAAATCATTGAAGAGTGCTGAAGAAGCATACGAGGAAATCATTCAGAAAACAAAAGCCATTCCAGGAGAAAGTCCCCCTGATATTGAACCACTCTATGGAGGACTGGCAATAGAGGACTATCTTTATGAATCTTTAGTGGAGGAGCCAGAAATGAAACTAAGCGAGACTCAAGATGAAGAACCCCAGTTTGACACAGCTTCACAATCTATTAAAAAGCTCAGATCCCCAGAGGAGGTTTATGAGGAGATGATGCAAAAGAAAAGGGAATTGATGATGATAGAGCAAGAATTTCAACAGGCTTGGACAGCAATGGATTCTTCCTCAATCGAGGCTGTGGTTCATGAGCTTCCTGTTGACGCTGAAACTTGCGTGGTGACCATATCTAGTGAAGATATACCTTCTGAAGATACACAGATCACTGAACAAAAGGATATATATCCTTTAGTTATGGATACTTTAAGTGAATTACCAGCAAAGAGAAAGAAACGTCCAGCCCCCCCACGCCCCTCTGAGCCCCCTAAGCGCACTGATGTAACAGTTTTTCATAGTGCTCCCAGTGCATCCATAACTTTTATCAGGCCTATGGTTCCTCAAGATCCTGCACTTAGAAAGGCATTGTTCCCAATACCAGACCTGAAGATTACTCAGTGCTCATCTGGTGAAGAAGAGGATGATAGTCTTGCAGATGAGTATGCCATAGGTATTTCCTCTGATATTACTCCCAGTGATGATTCTGAAACCAACGAGGATCACTCCATAAGTCCATCTTTGTCTGACTCTAATGAGATAGAGCCTATAGGTGTTATATGTGAAATACCAGAGCCAAAACCGATTCCAACTCCTATATCAGCCCCAGAACTAACAACTACACCTTCATCTGTTTCACCAATATCTCCCCCAACATCACCAGCTACTCCAGATTCAAGTATGGCTTCAAATGTCTCATCATCCTCATTTCAGGCTCGAACACCGATTTCATCTGATTCAACTCCACTGTCCACACCAACTCTTCCAACTTTAATAAAAGATCAGTTAGTTGAAGAATCGTCATTGTCTAATACAAGCGAAGTAATTTCGTCAAAATGTGTTCCTTATCCCCCCTCAGCGACTGTTATAGTCACAATTCCAGATATAGTTTCTGATCCATCTAAAGTTCAAATGACAGAGGACCTTCAAATTATTCCTTCTTCAGCAAAAGTCCAACCCCCACCTCTGTCTGAGACTTTATCTGCTGTAACCCCTAAAGTTCAAATGCCAGATTTGGTTTCCACTCCATCACAAGTATCAATAAACATTGAAGCTGTTTTACAAGTCTCAGCACAAAGTCCACCCCCCATCATTGTCTCAGCCCAGCCTTTAGCCCAAGACATAGCTACACCTATTGTTGTCACAACAGCAGCTTCATTGAACACAATCTCATCTACAGCCTCTGATGTGCCATGCCCCGAGCCCTTAACAGTCCAGATGCCAGATTTGGTTTCAACACCACAACCAATCTCAGCCCTAATTACTACACCAACTCAAGCCCAGGCCACCGTAGTACATTCAGTCCCTGTACAATATTCTGTTCCATTAATGAGGACAGTGGTGGTCCCAGCAAAGGCTCAACCTGACCAGGGAATTATATCATCTCTGGCATCGACTACTATTGTCAAAAAGAAAGTTCCTCCTCCACCCCCTCCTCGATCCACTTCAGTTTCATTACCTGAGACCACTAACGAGATGCCTCATGTAAAGACTGTTATACCAGCTGTAGCAGCTAAGGTACCTGCAGTGACTGCCCCGCCAATGCAATCTGTCGTTGTAGATATACAACCAAGAATGGAACGTGGGCAATCAGGGAATGTACCTGTTCCCCAAGTTGTGACCCCAACCAGACAGGGCCATGTAGTCATTATTGTTCCAAGTATGGAAAATAAATCTCTTCTTGAAAAAACCAAACTGAGTAGTTATGATGCAGAACCAAACGTTGCTTCACACATATGTGGTAGTCAAGAAACTACGAATGATACAGTCAGTACAGACACTTCAGGTGTGCCTTTGCGCTCAGCTCCGCCACTTCCACCTAAACCTACATATGGGGAAAAGGTTGTATCAACTGAAGAAGTACCCCATGTTGCAGCCAAAACTCTATCATACCCATCTTCTGTACCTGAACTAACTGGAAGCACTGTTCCCACTCTAGTCACAAACACTATAGCATCAATCGACACTGTTTCTGGAACAGAGTCAATTCCTTGTCATCTTGCTAAGCCTCCCCCACCCATACCACCCAAGCCTGTTTTAATTCCAGCTGGCCTGGTTTTCACCCACAAGCCAGGCGAGAATGTTAAGCCCCCTCCTCCTCTTGTTGCACCCAAAGCAGCAACACTGCCTCGGATGAAAGAACCCCCAAAAGTCCTGTCACTTAGCCTTGCAAGACCTTTGGAAACTAAATTGGGTGCAACATCTCCCAAGTCACCTGTGTCCCCTAGACATGCAAAATGTTTACAGACATATGTGGTGATTACTCTACCATCTGAGCCAGGTTCTCCAACAGAGACCATAACAGTTCAGGCACCTGTGAGGCGAGGATCAATACCCCCTTCTACAGGATCAGACATTCAAACTACACTACCAGAGCAGAAGACGCCCACTGAGGTCCTTTCAGCACAGCTTGCAGTTAGGCGGGCATCTGTACCCACTGTAACCCATCAACCCCAGATTAAAAAAATATCAGCTACGGGAGCAGAGGAAGGGAAAACATCTGAGATGGTGACTGCCAAAGTGCAAATGAGGGAAAATTCTGTGCCCTCTGCTATACACCCACTACTTCCTGTTGCAGATGTTATAACAGTGTCATCGGATCAAAATGCCTGCATCATGGCACATGCTGTAGCGCCTACTATCAAGAAACCCTTTATGAAGCAACAAGAGTTAATTAATGAGCTCCAGAAACCTCCTGATCCAACAACAGAAGTAATGCCAAAGCCTACAGGGCCTATAGGTACTCTCGATCTGACACACCAATCCATTGTAATTGATCAATTTCAATCAAGTGTATCTCAACAACCTTGTGTAATAACAGAAATTGTAACAGTTTCTCCAAAAACTTTAACTGAAGATCCAGTTTTTCAGTCAACCAAATCAATTGCCACTGTGCAACCAGAATGTATAGGGGAAGCTGTTGCACCACAGCAGCCTGAAACACTTTTAGAAGTAGTTGTTCATCATAGACCACCTACACAATATCCAATTGATCATAATGAGAAATGTTTAGCACAAACAGATGTACAGGGTGTTGAGAATACAGAACAAGATGTAAGTAATCATGTCCCAGAGGAAGTTCTGATTCCATCAGCAATGCCAGACAACAGTCATAAAATTGCAGCTGAAGAAGCAGACACAGCAATTGAAGTGGTTGTACACTCTACAAAAGAACACATACCAGGGAATTCTAAAGATGCATACTCCCTATCTGAACCTGCAAATCAACAAATTGATCAAATTTTAGAAAATTTGGTTGTGGTGACAGAGCACCAATTCACACACAAGTCAAAGCTTATGGCTGAAGAGATCCCACTGCCTACAACATTTGAATATAGCACAGAAGATGTTTCTACTGACCCTGGTGTTAAGGTACCTGAGGCTGCTGTAGTGTCTCCTGTACCTCATCCTCTCACTGCTGCTGTGGTTGTGACTATGGCCTCTAAAGTACCTGAGGTAATGCCACAACCTACAGATCATGGTGCTGTGACTATTACAAGTGGTGGTCAATCACCGCCATATCTGTTGCATGGAATTCAAACATACCCAGATATTAGTTATACTCCCCAGCAGTATGGGACAATCACAGTCACAGCAACATCACATCCTATATCCCTGGAGGAAACACCGTTGCAAACTCAAAACGAAACTCTTTCAAAGTTAACATCCGTGGACAGTGGTCACTGGACAAAAGAATCCATTGCCATGCAACAACCAAAACAGATTGCAGAAATAATTAATATGCCATCTGAAAAGGATGTTTCAGCATGTGGTTATATAGCACATAGCCTCTACAAGAAGGAATCCATTCCAATAACAGAACAGCAACAGGAATCCTTGATCTATCCATCTGAATATAATCATCCATTGCAGACAATAACTCAAGAAGCAAACATCATAAGAAGCTCTATACCTTCTGCTCCAGACATTCCACTGAGTACATCTGCAGCTCCAGTAACCATCACCAAAATTCAACAAGAGTCAATTGAGAGTCAAGAAATAAGAGGATCAGAAAAGCTGGTATCTAGTAGGAGTCATATGTATTCCTCATCGATTTCCACCTCAGGCAAGCCCCCTGAAAGCTTATCTAGTCGGGTCACTCAAGTGGTTACCACCGAAGTGCAACGGACCACTGTTTCTGTTGTCCATGAAAAACTTCAACAGGTTCCTCCACAGCCAATAGCAACCACTATACAACCAGACATATCAAAAGTTCAAACTTTGCCTAAACAAAATAGCAAGATTATGTATCCTGGGGATGTTATTGATTTACGTACTATCAAGTCTGGCATAAAAATGACCGAGCAAGGTATGGACCTGACACAAACTGAGTCTAGTCGGCAATCTGTTTCTTCTGAGTCAAGTGGACGTCATATATCTGCAGTACAGTCCGAGATCGTAAATCTTAGTGCAGAGCTTACTCCTGCAACAACACTGTCTGTGGTTACTGATAGTATCACAATAGTCACATGTACTGCAACGATTGCTTCATACAATATTCCTGCAGAGAAACCACTTGATTTGCAGGGCCCTGTTGCATCACTACCTTTGCCTCTCACATCAACATACAAACCATTTGAACCACTTGCGCAAATTGTTTACAGACCAGTGAAGACCCCATCTGCATTCACTGATGAAGTATCTACAGCTCAGGACCTACCCATCAATCTTTCCTTTGAAGCTCTAGTCACATCTGGAGGAAAACAGCCATTGACTTCAGCTCAAAAAATTACTGGCAATGAAAGTCCCATTATATCTATTGAGGCTACAGGAGCCATGGATTTATCAAATTATAAACCAGTGACAGCTATGGTAGCATTGTCTGATACAGGCTCAGGAGTGGTGACCTCAGTTTTAGAGGATGATGGAGTTCCAATTGACCTTACTGCTGGCAGAAGAAGCATTTGCTGTGATGTAATTTACAAGCTACCATTTACTGGAAGCTGCAGAACACAACCTCCAGTAACAACTCAACCCGACACCCATTTTGGCTTCGAAGATCAAGCTGGACTGTATAAAATAAAAGGGACTAATGGAATGAAAGCATCGTTGTCAGAGACCAATTTGACAAACACAGGTCTTCGCTTCTGTAATCTTGAAAATGACTACTTTGGTGGATCTTCTGATGCAGCCATGGACCTAACTGCTGCTAAACTTTCAGCTGGTAAGTATGGAGATCCTTTTCAAGTATTGTGTTACTTTGTTTGGTCTGCATGTCTTTAGACTGACATTTATTAAAATGTTTGTTTTCTCTTTGACGTAGAGCTCATTGCATTGTTTGCATGCTTCCTGTCTTGTCTTTTACACTTCAGTTTTTTTACACTTAAGTTTATATTGAATGCTTTAATTGTTGGATTTCTTTTGTGATATACATATTTTCTACGAATCGAGTAATTTGTTTTCTGTTTGTTTGCTTTTTTCTTCATACAGATGCATGTGTTTGCCTGCGTGTACTGCCTCAATATTTTGGTTTTGCATCTTGCTAACCAAAATACCTCCATATATGCCTGTGCAGTGGACCTTTTTTTACCCCAAATGCATGATCCTGATTACACAATTTAGTTTCGTTGTTTGTGAAATTACTCTAACGAAAGACATATATATTTTGACTTCTGGCAGGTGAAGCACTAGACTACACTAGCAAAGCAACCAGCATCTACTCTGCAATGATTACTGCCCCAATCTCCCAGGTTCCTGCTGGTGGATTTGGAGTAAATAGTGCTTTAAGAACATCAGATGGGATAGTTTATTCCTCAGTTGCAGCACCAGTTCCATCGACATATGCAATTACAACGCAACCAGGCTCCATCTTCAGCACTACTTTTACACCTACATCAACCATGCAGGATCCCTCATTACAGCACTCATATGGTTTTGTTCCTGCAACAGACCCAGGACAAATAGTTCCTTTTGAGGCTGATCTATCAAAAGAGTTTTTCCCTACAGTGTTGGCTGACCTCATAACTGGCTATCCAGAAATGTACTCAGATGCCACCCTTGAAGCCATTGCTGCTTCTTTAGATGTTCTAGCTTCTTCACCAATATTTCCTGGTTTAGACAACACCAAGATGGCCCAGTATCAGATGGAGAGGGAATTTCTAGAATTAGAGAAGCTTAAACAGCTATGTCTTGCTGAGGAACTGGAGTGGGAAAGACAAGAAATCCATCGCTACAGAGAACAGGAGCAACTTATGGTGCAAAGGGAACTTGAAGAACTTCAAGCTCTGAAACAGCAGCTGCTTCTTCAGCAGGAAGAGGAACACCATGCCCATATGATGGCCCAGCAAGAGACCTATGCTCAACAAAAAGAGCAGTTGCAACAAATTCAGCAACTTCAACTCCAGCTCCAGCGGCAGCTAGATGAGCACTACAGCAGTACTGGTATGACAGGAAACCTTTTAGAAGCTAAATATGCAGGAGTGGGGGATAGTGGTCAGTACTGGCCTGTAAAAGATGAGTCTACACTTCCTTGTACAGAAGCACAAACAGAACAACATAATGAGAAGCTTCACATAGTTAAGCTGCAAGCTGACCAGGATTTAAGTAAAAAAATCCTTGACAGTGGTGTACAAACAGATGATGAAGACTCTGCGGAAAAGCAACATGTGGGGAGAAAAAAGAAGAGCAAAAGAAACATTGATAGCTTAGTTCAGTCTGATGAGGATGATCTAGATGAATGGGATGCCCCCACCAAAGTTCGACGCCGTTCTCGGAAGCACAGCAGTGATGGAAAGCATGGATCCAAGGTGTCTAGCATTGCCATCCAGACAGTATCAGAAATTTCAGTCCAAACTGACCACTCTGGAACTATCAAACGACCCAATGTCCAAATGGACACAAAGATAGAAATTGTTAAGCACATATCAGCTCCAGAAAACTCTAATAGAGGTGGGAGTCTTAGCTGTCAAACTGACTCAGACAGAAGACATTCACCTATTGAGTTTGAATATAGTACACAACTAACGACAGATCTCCCCTCTAAATCCAAAGTGCACTACAGTCAAGTGTCTCCTATATCTCCAGAAAAGTCATATGGAGGGCAAAGAATGCTAACTGCTGACCCAACCAGATTCTCCTCTGGCCCTAGGAGTTTAAAATCTGGGCAGAAATCTCTGTCAGATCCTAGGTCTCTTAGTCCTTCAACTGAAGACCGAATTGGAGGATATTATGCAGACAGCTATTCTGTAAGTCTTTAAATTTTTGGCAAATAAAACAAATGAACTAATTTATTAATTTTTTAATCATACACACCCTGATGTGTGGTTTCTTGTTGTATTGTAGTGTCGTGGTTCTCCTTCTAGTAGTTGTAAGAAAGTAAAGCGAACCCTCCCAGACCCCCCTTCTGAGGATGACTCTTTGGCAGGAAGATCAGGCTATAGTACCAACTCTGCTCGTCGCCGTCTTGCCCGGAGCACAACAATGGCCCGTGCAAAGATTCTGCAAGATATAGATAAGGAACTGGATCTGGTGGAGAGGGAATCTTCTAAACTACGCAAGAAACAAGCAGAGCTTGATGAAGAGGAAAAGGAGATTGATGCCAAATTGCGGTGAGGTGCTACACATTCCTTGAAACAAATTACCAAGTTATCTAGAAGGATTCATTTTCCACCCTATTATAATACTTTTAATTTACTTCAGAAAATTAAAAGCCGATCATTAAAACAAAGAAAAAATGAACAGACCATTTCATTAAACCATTTCAGTTTCTTTTCTTTATTTTCATCATCATTCCCTTTTTACCTTAATAGCTTATGGGCTAAAAGACTGCCTTGACAGCACTGAATGAGACCTCATCACTATTAAACATAGTAACAGGTACAATGTGTGAGAAACTGGAAAATTGCGTAACTCTTCAAAAGTGTGTTTTAGGAATTGTCATTACTTGAAATCTAAAACTTTTTTTTCTGATATAGGTATCTGGAGATGGGTATAAACCGTCGCAAGGAGGCATTGTTACAGGAAAGAGAAAAGAGAGAAAGGGCATATCTCCAGGGTGTGGCAGAGGAAAGGGACTACATGTCAGACAGTGAGGTTGGCAACATAAGAGAAAGTCAAGGGGAAGGCCTTGAGAGACCACGAACTGCACCACAGTCAGAATTTGATCAATTTATCCCTCCCCAAACGGAAGCTGATTCCCAGTACAACACCCTTACAAGCCCCTACTCCCAGTATGGTCAGTATGTTCCTCAGACTCAATCCACAAGCCATTACACCCAACAAAATATCTATCAGCAGCAGTCCCTTTACCATCATCAGGTGTCTCCTTATCAAACACTATCGCTCTCTCATTCTCAGGGTCAGCCTAGCAGCTACCAGCATGCTTTACTTTTACAACAGGGAAAACCACGCCAAACTACTTTATCTGATATAGAGCCCAAAATTAGCACCAACTATGAGGTGATGCGTAACCAGCCTCTCCTCATTGTGCCAACCTCTACAGAAAGTGGCTATGGGGTTGCTCACATGGGGGGCAAGTATGGCAACTTAGATTTGAGGTTAGAGGAGAGAAGCATGGCCTCCAGTCCCATGTCAAGTATTTCTGCTGATTCTTTCTATGCTGATATAGACCATCACAATACCAGGAACTATGTGCTTATAGAGGACATAGGAGAGCTCACTAAGGCCTCAACAGGACTTGGCAGCTCTGGATTTAACATCCCTGATAAAGAGCTATCGAAAACGGACAGATTGATCAGGGCAGCAGAAGCAAGGCGTTCAGCAGAGGTAAATGCTTATTTTCTTGTTTCCTTTTCTATTTCACACCATCTGTGTTTTTAACATTTTTGAATATGATTATTACCCCTCTGGTGATTTGGATTTGTGTTCCAGTGGTACTGAGTACAAATGAAATATGGATAAACAGGTTTTTTTATTTTATTGTTCTATTCTATTGTTATCCCATAATCATCATTGAAATCATTATATGAGTAAGAATATCTTCAAACCCCTAACAGAATAAACTTTTACTCTGTTTTGCGCAAATATTTATAGCACTTTAATTGGCTAACAATTTGTCACGTTAATTTTAATCTAGATATAATGCGACAGACCTACACAAAGTATTGTTTTATTGTAATGTGAAAAGAAACACCTTTTGAACACCAGTGTTTGAGGGTTCTTACTTGACCAGATCCAAACTTCTAGAGGCAAATATTGTTTTTCAATTTCTTTGCTAAAAAGTACAACTTAGTGAAGTTGGGAGGAGTTTGACTTTCAAAATTGAAGCCTTCTCTTAATTTTAAATTGGAATTCAAGCTGAAATTGTTCTGTTTCTAAATACATAAATATATATATAGACCATTTTTTTGACTATGTCACAATTATGTCATGTAATGTTCACAACGAACGCAATTTGAGCAGCAGAGGCAGTAGGTTTACATTTACATAAAGTCTATTTTGACGAGCATCAAAGCGCATCAATAGGTCCTGCAGCACATCTCGAGCAGCGGGAGTAACACATCTTGATGCATCTGTCCAGCGCCTCACCATCTTCTAAGCATCTTAGGCGTTTGATGCACTTTACAATCAGTAGATACCGGAGCTGGAAAAAATTTAACTTTTGCTGCTCAACAGACCACATCAAACAATCAGATATGCTGATCTGAGAGCTGGCAGGGAGGTGGGCACAGGGCTGCTCATTCGGAGCTGTTAACATAAAGCCATCAAAATTAACAAATATCATGTATGTATATATTAAAACGGAGTAAAACTCAAATAGGTTTACATAAAAAGCAAGGATTTTTTTTCATTTGCCTACAAAGAAAGTGAGTTCTCTAATCCCTCCCCCCTAAACTAACCTAAACTAACTTAAAATTTATAAACTTGCCAGCAAAATATGTTCTTTTATTCTGGTGCTTGAAGTTTCTACCACATACCTGAAAACCGCTAGCATCTGCATCCAGCGACCAGTAGCACTAGCAGAAAACCCCCAAGAGGTGAAAGGGCCTGAGTAAGCTAATGCTGGATTTCCAGTGACATGCAAGTGCAGTTAGTAATAGCGATATAGCAGTTTTTTTTTTTTCATTTTCAGATTGTAAATAGTGATGGGGGGGAATATTTTCACCTTGCGCTGTGCTCCACCCACAGAAATAAACCACAATATTTACCAACATGTTTACGAAGAGGTCTATAGATTTAGGCTTTTCTGTTTTCTATTTTCTTTTCTATTTGTTTGGGGTTGTTGTCCATTTGTCTGGGTTTATTCCAGAAGGGCACTGTATTTAACTGCACCCACATTTCCCATACTTTCCTATTCCTGCACAGGAAGTATCTTCACCATGCCTCAATATAGTTTTAAATGTTGCAACAATTTTTTTTATGTATATTACAATTGTAGACTACTTTGTTGGATCTATTTATTCACGTAACCTTAAAATAAACATCAGAATTTGTAGTTATGGCATTATAAGATATTAAAACAGTTATAAAAATGAATGACAAAATAAAGGACCCTAACCCCATTTACATAATTTAACTGATGAATATATTTCCTTTATTCTGAAAATTTTCTTAATATATTGACAGATCTTATATGCAAAATCCTAATTGCTAGTACGAATCCATTTACCAAAAAGTGCAAAAACGTTCACTCTAATATGAATGCCTTATTTTCATACCTTAGGTGGCTGAGTTTTTGGGTTCATCACGTTTTGGAAAAGGAGAAGATGATTCTATGGAGGAGCCATATGAACTGAAGCTACTGAAGCAACAAATAAAGCAAGAGTTTAGGCGAGGAACTGAAGGACTAGAACATTTAACAGGCCTTGGACTTTCTCATTATCTCTCAAGTGATAGTAGTTTCCGTCACTTCCCTAAAGGAGAGAAATATAGCATTGGACGACTCACTCTTGAAAAGCAAGCTGCAAAGAATCTTCCTGCTGCTATGCTCTACCAGAAACAGATGAAGAACAAAAAGGCTTTGCTAGACTCTAAGACCATCACAAAATTTTCTCCTATTCAGGAAAGTAGAGACCTTGAGCCTGAATTTGGTAGCTACATGGGATCTAGGGCTTCGTCCGTGTCCAGTCTAGCAGCTAGGGCTAGGTTACTTCAGGACGAAATTACATTTGGTTTAAGAAAAAACTTGTCTGAGCAGCAAAAATATTTGGGATCTTCCTTAGGAGCCAACCTTTCTGGTTCTCTAAACCTTGGCCAGTCTCTTAGCTTGGGATCAACTATAAGAGGGACCACTCAAGAGGATGGAACATATCCAAGTGGCACTCGGTCCCGTCCCTCTTCGCGCCCCTCTTCTCGACCATCTTCTATATATGGTTTAGATCTGTCCATTAAAAGGGATTTGTCAAGTTCCTCACTCAGACTTAAGACAGATGGGGAGGTCCTGGACGCAGCATTTGCTCCTGGAGTCTCTAGAGCAAAACCCACTAGTTTGCCTATCAGCCAAAGCAGGGGCCGTATCCCCATTGTGGCTCAGAACTCAGAGGAGGAAAGTCCTCTGAGCCCAGTGGGGCAGCCTATGGGTATGGCTAGAGCTTCTGCTGGTCCCTTGCCTCCCATTTCTGCTGACTCCAGAGATCAGTTTGGTTCTAGCCATTCCTTGCCAGAAGTACAACAACATATGAGGGAAGAATCACGGACACGTGGCTACGATAGAGACATCGCTTTCATCATGGATGATCTGCAAGGTGCCATGTCTGACAGTGAAGGTAAATGGACCCTGAGACTAATGAAGCAGTTCAATTGTGCGGATCTGCTTGTGATGCATGCTAATGCCGAGTTGTTTTATTGACTTTGTGCATAAACTGTCTCTTTCAAATTGATCAGTCAATTGATTGTTTCCTTTGTTCTAGGAAAAGTTAAATGGAAGTTTGCATGTTTTTTTATTTCCTTTTGTGTTTCCTCTATATTGCTCTCTCACAAGTACATAAAACTCTCAATCTTATGAGTTTATGTATGTCAGTATTCAGTTCGTCCACTTTTGCTGTGTAATTCCATTTGCATGTTTTATGTTTTTTTACAGATAAATTATCATCCATATTTTTAAATCAAGGCAATTTTAGCAAGTATACATGTTTTGATTTACATATCTGCCTTATTTTTGGAGGATTTAAAACTTTGACAGATCAGACACACCATATTCGCTTTAAAGTTAATGTTAAATGGAACAGAGCAACGCATTAAAGTATTTTTTAAATAAGATGGGAAAAAAAATGTACACATTTAGTTTTCAGGTCCTGTTAACCTGTATAAATACCTTAGTTCAACATCATATTGAATATTGCCATTGTCATTCCAAAAAAAATTTAAAACAATCCACTGGACTTGGTTTCCAAGTTTGAATATTGCCATTGCATTGTATGCAATTTCTCTCTCTACCTATGACTAGTTAAGAATAGAAAATCTACACTCAGTCATATCTTTGTGATGCTGCTGCTTTGTGATGTTGATCATTTTGAATATGTCATTAGCTAAAAGCTTGGCAAGTAAAATGTCTTCAAACACACAAGCTTCAAAATAAAACAACTTGGAGTTGGTCAACACTTTATAGCAACACTCATACACGTTTAAAAGATTTTAATGTTATTAAATCATTTTGATATGGAACATTTTATAATTTATAGGAAGACATTGTGACTGCTGTTTTATAATTCATAAGAACACAAAATAGCCAGTCTGTATTATCTGATTCACAGACTGGCCATGTATATTTGTAACAATAACTGACTTTCTGGTAATGCAGTGACTATTTTTAAGTATCAAGTTTTTTGTGTGACTTAGTCATGTGTGTCTCATTTCTTTTGGTATTTTTCTTGGATTTTTTTTCTGTACTTTGCATCTTTGCATGTTGTGTAATGGGTGTCTTCCATTTCCATGTTAATAAAATTAATATTTTGGGCTTGTTTTTTGTTTTTGTAGATGTCTTGTTGAAGACAGATAGTAATCAACAGAAAATTTTAGCATGGACTATCGATCTCCATAAAATTGTAACTGGTAGTGTTTCATTACTTTTGTCAAACAGTTATTAAAGCAGCCTGCGGTAAGTTTTTTTTCCAAAGGATCAGCTTAATTTAAGATATATTCAATGATTTTTCAGGTCAATATACATCATTTGGCATGTATCAAGGCTTCATGTAGTATTCTCTTCTGAAAAAAGTATGTAAAAGTGCATTCACACCAAACGCAATTCCAGCATCAAATTCACCACTATTGGACACCTGACATATCCCCAGCAATTTGCATGGGGGTGACAAACTCCAGTCCTGTTACATCAAATCAAAGAAGTTTCTATCTGCTGCTTGCTGTATTCAACTCAGCATGGTGGACCTGTATTTTACAGTGCAAGTCACTATGGGTTATTTATTATGGAAAGCAGAACAGTGTGCCCTCGACTCTGGGTTGACAAGATCCTCCAGGGATGAACCCAGTTTATGAAGGCAAGTAGCTAGAGCTGGTTTATGGTCACTTTCCACTGTGATTTCATCTGACCCAGACCAAAAATTATCCTGCTTCAAGGAAGGATCACCTGAACAACAGAGCTAAGGTGAGATGGTTTTCTGGAACTCAGACAGGAGCCCCGGGATTTCAGAACAACAATCTTGGCAGAGAGTGCACCAGAGCAGGACAGAGGCGGCCAGCTGTCCACTGCTTGGGAGCTGAGGGAGGATAGCAGGAGTTTAGAGGAGGACAGCAGTTAAGCATAGCAATAGACCAGTCGAAGAGTGTGCACCAAAGCAGCTGCTGAAGGCTCTTGAGCTACAGGAGAAGATGAATAATGAATAATTTAAGTCCTTCCAAGTTTAATAGAAATAACTTTTTAAAAGTCAACCAACACCTCATAAGACCATTACTTAACTTAATTTGTAAAGAAAATAAGATTAAAAAAAGTTTAGTCTTTGCTGGTTCTTCACCCAATGTCACAGTCACATACAATTCCTGATTGGTTGTAACACCATAAGACACAAACATTCAGATTTTCCAACGGCAGTGAATGTTGCTTAGCATCCATCACAGGTGTTGCATTGCTGAAAGTAGCAACATTTTGCCTGTCACATCTTTATAAATATGTCCATTGCATTCCAGCACTCCTGAACACTGTATAGGGATGACATTTAAGTTGATTACTCAGGTCACTGAAAATGCTTTTGATGTGAATGCACTGTTACTGGAGAGGGTCACTATCACTGAATGGGTCATGTTACCCAGAGCCCCTCTTTACCACAGTCTGGGCTTCCCTTTAAAAGTTGTTAGGCAACAAAGCAGAACGATACTGTCCTGATCAGATATACTTTTGGTTCATGGATGTAGTATTTAATCTATAGCAGGGGATGTGTCTTGTCTCTAAGTAACTTAATGACTTTTCAGTCTCATGTTCCAAATGGTCTGATATAAGATTGGAAAACAAGGAGGGAGATGGCTTATTTACAGTGCAGTGTTGCCTTTCGCCTTTGGGGGTACTAAACCTGGAAGTTGTGGGTCTATGTGCGGTAGTGGCTAAGTAATACACAATAGTGCTACCTGAGAGCCCTGTCACAACTTGATGATTTAGCCAGAGTATGCCTGATGTCCCAGAGTCATCTAAAGAGCTGGCATACGCTGAACTTTCTATGTATTTTTTCAATTTTGGTTGTATACATCGTGTATTCATAACGAGTCCAGAGTGTATGTCCACCAACAGCCTAACTTATGTATAAAGCACAGCAGCGTAATGCCCATGAAACATCACAAGCCAGTGTCCTGAGGGGAAAGCGATGTGCCCGGAGGTACCCGGCCTGTAGGGGTGTAAATAATAATCGTTTTTTTTATCGATGCATCGATCCAAAAGCCGACGATCCGATGCATCGGCACGTCCGCAAGATAATCGATTCATGTTTTTTTTTCCTCCGGTCTATTTTTATCCATTTGCTCCTGGGCATAATTCTCCCTCCCGTGCTGCGGTGCCGCTAAACCTATTTTGCCCTCCTACCGCGCTTCCTGGTTATACTCTTACAGCAGTGTGTTGCAGCAAGCTTCACACAGACATTTTTAAGTTATGCTCAGTATTGAAGCGTGGTCTGAGCTACACACTGTGGGTCTAGATACGGTCGAGGCGGTGAGGAAGTGGGGACGAGTTTAGTCCGACGACGGAGGGACATGAGGGCCAAAGAGAGCGGAGATCCAGCTGCAAAAAGGGTCCCAGCGGTCTCGCGCACCTCGCTCTTCTAGCGGGTCAAACTTCACGAGTTGTTTTCCGCAATTTCGGTCATAAAAACAAATCAAGCCGGCCTCCTGTCTGCTGCACTGTTTGCGGTCAGCTACAATCTGGGAGAGGTGCAGCGGAGCGTCTCTCAAGGGGCGGTGACGTCGTCACTTCTTCTTCTTTTTTTTTTAATGGCGGTTGGCAAACAACTTATAGGTGCATTACCGCCACCTTCCAGAATGGAGTATGGACCAGACAAACTATTATATTCTCCCTAAAATACCCGTTCTTCTTAGAAAATTGAAAATACTACCAAAAACTACATCCCCAGATGACCTTTGAAACAATTCCCTTATATCTAGTTTATTTTTATTCCTGTCTAACTCTCTACGCAACATCTCTCTTTCCTGAGTATATTTATTACATTCTAAAAAAATATGTTGGACAGTTTCTCTGGAGCCAAGGTATTGCATCGAACTCATTACACTGATATTGTGCAGTATTTTTGCAGTATTTTTTGATGCAACTTTTCTACTTCTGTTATTTGCTGTTGTTTCTAAAGAAAATGCATAATGATATTACAGCTTTCATTGATTTAGTTCAAACTTGAAACTTTGTTTAGCCTGTAAGGTGTAAAAAAAAAAAAAAATTACCAATTAATCGATTAATCGAATCAAATCGAATCGTGGTGTATTCTTGAGTATCGAAAATAATCGAATCGTTGGGTCAGGAAATCGATACTGAATCGAATCGCCATGATGGATGTGATTTACACCCCTACCGGCCTGCATAAAAATATTTCTTTGATTGGGGTTTAACCTAGCTGCTGTTTACAGCCCACCAAAAAAAAGGATACATAAAAAGAGAAAGAAAGATAGAAGGTTTGCAGTTGCAGCAGATTCAGCGTAACGTCTGATTGGAAGTTTGTTGGCTGCAGGGAGGACCCATCACACTCACCATCTCGCTCACCATATGATGTGGATGCAGTCTGGAGGAGTACTGACGGTTTCCTCCTAGGAACCTCCTTTTTTTACCAAACACTGCCTATATGCCATTATACATTAGCTGTAAGTTAGAAGCACGTTCAGCTGTCATCTGGAAGAAGTCAAATACGTTGATATGCGTTGGAGATAAGTTCTTGATGAGTTACGCATACGTTATGCGCAAGTTACTCAAGGGTTTTGGAAAAGCTGGACACCATGACTTATGAATAACTTACACTAATTGTATGTTAATGATCAGATAATTTACCTGCAACTTATGGCCCATGTATGGCATATGCTAGGAAATGTTGAGCATGCTCAACATTTCTGGACATAGTCACTATATGTTGACATGTGCCAGGTGTTTTAGCGTGCTTCCGCATACTTCAGCGTGCTCAGAACTTACACAAAATGTACCCATAACTTATCCACCGTATGCCAGCATTTTTGCCAGATTTTTCGTATGTCAGGCATACACTGGTCTAAATGGTCAAGGTGTGACAGGGGCATTAGCAAAAGCACAAAATACTTTGGTAAAGTGTTTATCTCTACTTCTATGTATTTCAATGGCATTTTAGGTGAGAGACAATGCAGTAATCGAAGAACTAAAGAGGAAGAAAATTCACAAAAGGTTTTCAGAATGTTTTAAATAAAATAAAAAGTATCTCAAAAATAGTTGCTCAGTAACCCTTAATGAAACATAAATTATGTAGTTTTTTGAAGAAGTTCAAGAGAGGTTATAAAACAATATTCCAGAGCTTTTCATTTCTTACAGAGCACAGTACAAGCCATCATCTGAAAATATAAACAGTGTATCAGAACTGTTAACAGAGGCCAATTTTGAATTGGCTCACCACCCAGGGTGCCCTTTTGTGAGCTAGCAAAGAGATTTGAACAGTTGAGCATCAATTGTTTGCAAACTGTATTGGTTAGAGAATTTAGAAAGAAATACTTAACCAGGATGCCATTTATGCAACAACTCCCACTGTTTGCAAACCTTCGAAAAACATGCCTGTCCTCCTGAGCCCATTCCAGCTCTCTTATTTTGCAAAGTCTACATCATTTTATTTGCCTGCCTCTTTGATGCAGGTATACCAGACTTTCCAAACTGAGGGACAATACTTTTTTTCTTTTGTATTTAAACTGACATTGGAAAAATATAACCAGACAAAGACCCTTTATAATTCCAGAAGAGCTGTAAAGAAACATAATGCAGGACGGACAAACTATTAACCAAAAAAGAACGGACTTTCACTCAGTTTAGAGGTTTATCTGTGTACTTAATAATCACAACAATTGCAATATAAGGTTTGCAACAATCAATTTGATAAATCCCAGAAATATGTTGAAGAAACCCCTCTCTGCCAGCTGAGTCTAAATTTGGAAGCCATATTCAAGATGCAAAATTCTATGTATGGCAGAAAAACACTGTGCAGTACATATAACACTCCTTCCCCAGTATCAAAGATGGGCAGCATCATGCAGTAGAAACAATTTTCTTCTGTCATAGAAATAAAGTTCATCAGAGTAAACGGATGGAGCAATCTAGGGAAAAAAAGAAAAGAAAAAATAGTCTTGCAAAAGTCTTGAGACAGGGCAGAAGGTCATCTTCCAACAACCATAAACAAACATGTGTAGCCGATGGAAACAAAGACTAATGCATACTGTGGTTTTTCAAAATTTTAACTAGCTGGCTTGCATATTAAAGCTGGTAAAACTATTTACATTTTTTTTCTAGAAAAAAAAAAAAAGGACAATCTTGTGTCATTTTTTTCCTGACCTTAGGAACAATACACTTTCCTGCTGTGTGTATCACCTATATCTCCCATTCCCTAAAAACAGATTTGTGGTTGAAAAATGGCAAATATGTTGAACATTTATAGGGGTTTCAGTTTTTTTGGCAAGGCACTGTATTAGGAGTAATTTCAAGCATGTTTCTTATTGTATAATTTTTTGAATGCATGTTTTGACCAACTATACTCTCAATACAGATATTTACCATAGCAAGCTTTTGTTGAGATAAGAAAATATATTGTGAAAAGAATTCTGAAAAAAAAACATATAACTTTGTACCCCAGCCGGAGGCCCAAACTGGAATATAGAAGGTGAGACAGCATTTGAATTCCATGTAGTTGCGTAGAGACTGTGACATCATGCTGCACATCATAATTCTGAATGGTCCACTTCTCTGGCTGATTCTTTAAACATACCAGACTCATGCTGGAATGAACCACCCTCTCGCTAGTATATAGTGCATATCATTTAGCATACCTGTGGTTTCTGACATTTTAGTTTTATTTTTGAATGAACTGTACCCTTTTTTTTTCCAGGAATGTCCGCTCTGTGGTTAAGTAAACATTCTGACTCATTTCTTGTAATCATGCTCATGCACAAAAAAGAAAAAAAAAGAAAACTAATGGCGAAATCATGCGTTATATGTTATAAGTGTCCACAAAATCTTGTTTAAAGTGTTACCCACTGCTTTTTTCTCCAAGACATGCAGCAGTTCATTCGCAGTCATCATTACTGCTGCACCTGCTTCGTTGAATAGGATCTCTGATCATATATGATGTTAAGGCATAGTGTGTTTAACCAACCTGTTTTCCTCTACAAATATATCAGGATTTTCTGGGTTTAAAAATGATAACTGTAATACCTGCAAAATCTCACAATTTTTCTTTATGCTTAAAAAGTATTAAGTGCCTATTAGTTGGGTTTAGGGAGGATTTAGAGAACATTACCATCTGAGTTTCTCAGGATTATGTCAACATAGTACAGACATGTCATAGTTATAAGGATTTGCATTCTTAACCCAGCAGATGGAAGAAAATGTATTAAGTCATAACTAAGACTCAAAGCAATCACTATTTTAGGAACCCTTTTTTTATTTTTAGATTTGTAAAGGAAGCATTTAATGACAAATTATTTACTAGAGTATTTTAAATTATAATTTGATAACACTAATAGTCATTTTAGATTAAATGAGACAAAGTGCAGCATTGCTTTAGCAGCTCTAGAGAGAAAAGATCAGAGATCTTCCTTCATTTTAGAAAATGGGGGTTGGTGTGCAAATAACCTCTATAAAAATGAAAAAAATAATAATTTTAAACATGATTCCTCTGTTGATCTTTGACTGATAAGACAGATTTATCCAACTATTAAACTTATTTTTATAAGCTCGGAGTTTGAATATGATATAATTTTGAAACTTTTCTCTACTTCAGCCTACCACCTGCGGAGGGAGGACACAGACTGGTTTGATAAGCCAAGAGAAGGACAGCCTCAGAGTGGACACATGTTAGATAGGAGACAGGTGTGGCTCAAATTTCGGATGCTTGTATAAAGTTGACTAGAATTTTTTAGCAAACCATACATTATTTCTTTTAAAAGTGTTTCTTTTAAAATAAAATGCATAAAATCTGTTTCAGATGAAGTTGGTTCCATACACCTTCCCTCACACTCGCATTAAGCTTAAGAGAGACATGACAGACAACAGCGTCTCAGGTAAAGCACAAATGTATAAACAGCATGTATTGTTAGATTGGTTTTATCAGTTGCATGTTTTTGTTATTACAATCTCTTTCTTACATCAGGTAACGGACTTGGACTCCGTGTGGTGGGCGGTAAGGAGATTCCAGGCAGTCGAGGAGAGATTGGAACCTACATTGCAAAGGTTATTCCAGGAGGCATGGCTGAACAAACAGGGAAAATTGTTGAGGGTAAGTCTGTATATGTGTAAAAAGAGCCTTAAGGCCTGAGCAGGCCAACGTCAAGGGCAACTATAAAGCTTTTCAACCGATAGTACAGGATTAGAATCCAGTATTTACAAGTGCATACAGGCAAATTCTGAACAGTCAAGCACCCCCTCCAATAAAGAGATCAATGGTATTTAACTGTTTAACATTTTTCATTTGTACCATGCAAACTTCAGTACATTTGCTAGTACTGTATATATTTTTAAAACACGTTATCTTTAAATGGCAATGATATAAACCAACATTTTAGCACTTCGCAGGTGTAGAACTGACCCCTATTGCAAGATTGTATTTTCTCACTGAAACAAATACAATTTCAGTTATATTTAGAGTTTTGTGGTTTTTATTCACTCATAACGTGAAGAAAAATTAGTTGTAAACCCTGAGCAGCTCATTCTCCTTCCAGCCTGTCCTTTAAATGAAGATACAAACATCCATTACAAAGATGAGTAATGAATAATATTCTGTTCTTTAAGGAATACCTTTGCCTCTAGGATACTATTGCATATCTGACGATACAATGCTGTAGGATAATAGAGCTCCTACATCATCTTGAGTTTTAACAACAGATAAGCTAAGTTATTACACATTTGTTGGATATATCTAAAAGGTCAATCAATGTTATGATTCTCATGTGATGCAAAGTGTTTTACACCATTTGTCCAAAAGTCTGCCCTAACCCTTAAATCCCTCAATCACTATATTAAGAAGGGACTATATAGTGTAGTTCATAGTAAACTCAGCTAACTGAGAGTTGGGTCAGATGATCAGTACTTTTAGCTCATTGTTGGTTATTTAACTCTGCCTCCATGCACGGTTCTTGCGCGGCTACATCAAATTCCATTATGCTTTGCCAGGAGAGCTCTCCCGGCAAAGTATTCTGGGATATATCTGCTTATCTAGTGACCATGGATGATAACTACATTTCAAGATGCATTTTTGGAAAATGTATACACTGTATAGATTTAGATGCATTTAACCTAAAGCCTCTGTATTATGTTAAATAGAATTAAGTTTTCACACCTACTGATTTTTTATGGGTTTTTCCGATTATTTATTACAAAATTTTTTTCCTTAGATGTTTCATTATATGTGTGTTTACAATTCAAACACTAAATATATATCACACAAATGTAACTGCTACCTTTCTTAAATATGAGTGGAAATCTGTACCTGTAGTACAGTAGAGGGAAATTATTTAATTTCAGAAGCTTTAAAAAAAATACCATCGAACTGGTAAACATGGTCCAATTGACTGTATCGTGATATTTGGCTGGACTTCACAGATTCAGGTTGACATGCATTTTTTTGAGGGACATTGCATCTAAAAATCCCATATGATTAAATCTGTCCCAGCCTCTGTTGAAGCAGTTATTGTATCCATGTTTTTTGCTGGGCTTGTCTAATTCCCAGGTATGTCTCATTAAAATGTGGAAGACTTCTCCCCCACATTAGTGCGCTGTGTGAGTCATTAGACTGAATTCAGCTTTACAAATATCCTGACAGCACTGAAAAATGCTCAGATTGAACCCTGGAGATGCCTATTTATTTGTTCTTTAATTCACCTGAAATTACAATCACTGATGTGCTGAGCCCTATAAACCATCATGATCACTTATGGACCATTAAATATAGCAGTGGTTATGTGGCCTATAATTTACTGGAAAAAATGTGGCTTATTATAAAGATGGAAAAAGTGAGTATTGCCAGATTTAAAATATTTAAGGAAAAAAAAACTATTATAGCACTACTTTTTATCAAAATAGAACATGTCTCTTAGATGCCAGTCTGATGAAATCTGAAAGCATTTGTCTGTAGTTGTAGAATATTCAAAACACCACCAAAGATAACACAAAGGATACATTTTGATCTAAAGTTTGACTATGTTTCTTTGAATTTGTGTAACAGGTCATTACTGCCATTTGTATAGTCATGCAATAGCTTATTACACGAATAATGTGTATGAGCAGAATTAGTTTCATTTAGGTTTTAAGGGGGGGTTGTCTTTTATTTTATTTTATATTCACCTCTTTCATTATTGTAGCTTTAGATAGAGCCAAAGGTGGGTACAAAGAACCAGAAGCAGGGGGATAAGATTAACTGCATTTAACAATAAAATAAATAGGACTTATGTTGACACAATAGAAAAAGGACACATAACAAACATGAGAGAAACAGGCAGAGGGAAGGGACAATCATGTGGTAAACAAAGTGACCCAGTGAGGTTAAACTGTCATAAACGGGACAGATAGACCCAGTATTCAAGGTGAGACAGTCAATAAGAAAGTTCAAAACATTTTGGTTAAAAACGAAAAAACTGAAACAGAACTGAATCGGGCTGCTAAATTCTGGTTTAGGGAGAAACACAGGTAAGTTAAAACGATCATCTGAACAGGAGATGATTATCACAGTGAGTCACTTACCTGGTTTCACAGTTCAGTCCATGCCGATGCGCTGCCAGCGAGATGCGGCCCTGAGCCGTCCAGAGCATCCCTGATGCAGCAACCCCAGTGTGCAAGCAGGACTCTGATCCAGGACAGAGATTAAGATTCGGCTTGAGTAGTTCTGGAATCCAGGAGTCCACAGTCCAGTCCGGGATCCACACACTAACGAACAGATCCGGGTTCAAGGAATCTATCAGAGCGGGAGGGCAGGTTCAGAGTCCCCTGTGTTGAGCATCCAGCTCAGACTGAAACACACAGACAGGCAGAATCCAGCAGCAGTCCAATTGTGGTTCAGGTGAACAGATCATGCAGGGACAGACGGGTCCAGTGGGTGAGAGGGAATGGAATCAGGAAAACAAAATCACTAGGGAAACGCTGAAACGCTCTCACCACTGGTTACGGAATAACTCAACTGAGGACACTGGCTTGAGAATAAACTCCTCACTGGAACAGGGACATGAACCTTGGAAATAAACCTAAAAACAAAACTGACAGACAGGACACTAACAGAAGGCAAAAAGGGAACAAACAATGATCTGGCCTCGATTGCTGGAACTGGGCCCAATATAAGGAAGAACGGCATGTGGATGAGATGAGTGACAATTAGGAGCCAGACAGAGTTAAGCAGGTGAAAGGTATGAATAATTAAGGTGAGCTATCAGGGCAGATCATTACATAAACACTGAGACAGGGCTGGAAAATGAAACACTAACAAGTGGAGCTAACCAGAGGTAATTTGGAGCAGTTGAGGCAGAAGACAGGGCAGTTGAACAAGAAAGGATTATAAAGAAAAGAAGTTTAACTTAAAGACACAGAAAGTCCTCTCCAATGGGAAATGAGTTAGCAACAGCACTACATACACTTCATTCAAATTCATAAAGAGGAGAAATTATTTATAAACTAACACAAGAACAAGTATTATTATGGCTAGACTGAAACGATCACAGAAAAATAACAAGAAAATACTTAAAATATAGATTTTAAAGAAAACCAAAGCACAAAAGCTTAATGTACAGTACTGAATAAAAACAATGTTTTTTTTCTACTAAATTAACTAAACTAATGCAGAACTTTTATGTAAAACAAACAAATTCAAGTATCAACTTTCTATTACCTTGCTTTTTCTTGGGTCACAGTGAAACTGAACATTCTATAGCCAAAAAACATTTCTGTATAGTTTGCACACACAAAAAAAACTCAACAAAGCTTAAATGTAAACTGAGAAACACACTAATTTCTTTCACATTTCTTGATTCTCTTGTAGGAATGCAGGTGTTGGAGTGGAATGGAGTTCCTTTAACTGGGAAGACCTATGAAGAAGTGCAGTGCATTATGGCCAAGCCCTGTGCTGAGGCAGAGCTCTGTGTGAGACTGTGAGTAACATCTAGCAGTGCCTCATTTGTACTCATATATTGTAGCAGTAAGGCGACATTGTACCTTTGATCACGATCTCTCCCCCTCGTCATTTTATTTCTCACCCCTTGACCTGTCGGTGTCATGTGAGTTATAAACTAAGGTCCACCAATTGTAATATCGTATTTTTCTCTTGGATTCCAAGCAGTGACCTTAATATGCTGTCTGACCCGGAGCATCCTCAGGCTCTAGAGGACCATGTCAAAATTAGGGCTGGTATGCATAAAGATTTATGGATACTCTATATCTGCATGTATGTCTAGTCTAAACTAAAGAATACTACACAACTTAGGTTATGTGGAATAATTTTCTCAGCAGGTGGCCAGCGATCCCCCGGCGTGGATCCTAAACAGTTAGCTGCTGAGCTCCAAAAGGTGTCCCAGCAGCAAACTCCTGACATAGCAGGAACAGGGTCTGGGAGCTTGGGGATTCTCTCTGCATTGGAACGTTCAGCCCTCCTTCACTCAGGCCCTGGGTCAGCAGCCTCCAGTGGAGTCCCAAGCCCTGGCCAGCCAGCATCTCCTGCCATCAACAAGAAACAGCGCTACAAGGTAACTCACATCTTTAAAAGACTGCTCAAAGCGGCAATACAATCTGATTTATTTTTGTCAGTCATCCTGAGAAAATGCAAAAAAGGCCCTAAATCCACATTACCATGTATTTGTTCGCTAAATTATTACTTAATTTTTCTTTCATTTCAAATAAATGTTTGAAATCATCAAATAAAATATTCATATCAGACAAATAGATAAAAAAACGAGTTGTGCTACCTTTGATGATATTAACTGCCATCTGGTGTTTGCAATGACTGTCTTTCACATTTTTCAAAAATGTTTAATCAAACAGTATTAGAAAGCTTTTCACCGTAAGTTTATAGTCACATTACAGCAACTGAGACTCTAAAGACGCCACTTTAAAACCTTCTTTTTGTTTTTCTGAAGCCATTCAGTGATGGAATTCTCGATATGTCTTTGACAATAAAATATTAATCTCTTTAATTTATGTGTCTAACTGCAAGTAAATCTGGGGTTAGTAAAGTTTTTCAGATCTAAATCCCATTTGCCTCCTGCATGACAGGTATACTTTGACTTAAGGCCATGAATCGATAGCTGTGTATTCTCCTTCAGGATGTTTTGTTCAAGAGCGGATTGTGTTGTTCTGAAAATGAAGGCAAGCTGTTCAGATCCTACTATATAGCCTTTTGTAGAGAGTCAAGTTTTTTTGAATGTGTATTTTTGTTTAAATAATAATGTTATTAACCTTTGCCTCCCTGTTTTTTCTGGGGTTTTTAGACAGGAGAGCTGATGAAAATACCTCATCCCATCACTGGAGAAATTCAGGTAGTAAACATATCTTGAAAACAAATTATCATTAATATTTGTATTTTACTTTTCTAAGATCAAAGTAATAAAAAATGTGAAGTAGTATTATTCACACCACTTTTCCTCATTCTTTTCCCCGCAGCTCCAGATTAACTATGACAGAAATCTGGGAAACTTGATTGTACACGTCCTACAAGCCAGGAACTTGGCCCCCCGAGACAATGACGGTTATTCTGACCCTTTTGTGAAGGTCTACCTTCTACCAGGGAGAGGGTGAGCACTGAAAGGGCTTCAGTTTTAACTGAGGTCTTGTCTGTGTTTTCCTTTTTGATTTCAAGTCTGTCTTATTTTTTTCTCCCCCAGTATTTTCTGACTTTGTAAGTGCTCGGTTAACACTGACTAACCCCTTGAGCTTGTTTGGGAAAAGGACATGAGGACATGAGGCAGTCGTTTTCACTTTGTTATTGACTCATTTGGATTTTACATATTCAAAGTTATCCAAAATATTTTCTTTATGTATAGGCTGGAATTCGACACACTTTCTACATATGTAGAGTGCTTTATATCAACATTTGGATCCCATTAACTTTTTAAAATGGTCTCGTTAGAGCAAAAAGTTAATTAATATAATGCAAATTCAACACGTTAGCGCAAGGCACTTTACAGAGACAATCCAATCAAGTCACACAATCCGATTGGTTAAAAGTTTTCTATAAAAAAATAGCCAGCAGATTGCATCGAATCATTGACTTTGCAGGATTTGCGACCTCCTGGATGAGCTTGCACTGACAGTAGACATGTTCTTGCTTTGTGTCATTGGCTTTACAGCCGTACCTCACTCTTAGTCTGAATGCAGTGACAGTTGAAAACAAAAACCCCCTTTTAACAATAAGAAGCCTCTTGCAGAACTTGGATTAATGCAATTGGCGTTTGAAAGAGACAGAAGCAAACATACAAGGGGAGCATTAATTAGAAGCACTTATCCATGGTAAACTAGCTCCCTAGATGGATCAGTCTAGGAAAATAACAGTTAAGCAGACAAGCTTTGAGACAGTTTTCTTGTCAAAAAAGGTGAAAGACAGCCCATAGGGTCAGAGACAGTAAAAGCTGAGCCTGAGTGGATTGGTTTCTCAGCATAACCCCAAGACAAGATATATACTTTTTTTTTTTTTTTTGCAATATCAATGAACAAAGAAAACTCCAAAGTTTTTCATGCCTCCTATACGAATTGACTAATAAACAACTAATAATCAACTTCACTTAGATTATTGTCCCTAGCGCTGATCCCTGTTTATCAAGCTCCAGTCACCCTGGAGCTTCAGGAAGACTAATTATCAACATAAACAAAATGAAATCTATCAGACAAATAGAATTTTAACCTGCTTGGCACTGTCCCCTTTATTTCTATCAACAATTACAGCTTATCTTAACTTGTGATTGACTGTATCAAATGTAGCTCTGAGCTCTAACACAAGTACAGATACAAGTTCACTATAGAAGGCGGTGAGAATATCGTTAGTAACTTTTACCAGAGCTGTCTCATTGCTGTGATGAGGTTTAAAACCTTAATGAAACTTTTCAAAAATGTCATTTTGGAGTAATTCCTGAACTGATTAGCACTATTCTCAAAAATTTTAGATAAGAGAGTATATTTTTAGAGTATTAGAAATAGGTCTATAACTCAGCTCAAGTAATTTGGCTAGATAGAAGGTTTATTAAAAAAGCTTTATTTACAGCTACCCTAAAGGTCTCTGGTATGAATCCCTGTATTGGGAATTGCTTCTCTGTAGCACTTTGAGATTTCTTTGAAATGTAAGGTGCGTTACAAATAAAATCTATTATTATTATTATTATTATTCATATCTAAATATAGGCGGAAATCAGAGGAAATACTTCCTTAAATAAGTTGGTTGGTTGGAGCGACCAAATCGGGTTTGGTTCCCCCATCTCCAGCTGTCTCCCTCCCCCCGTCCGCCGGAGTTGCTGGACCAGCCACGATGCTCACAGCTCAGTTCTGCTGCACTGTAGTCGACCAAACTCCTAGATGATTTTGAAATTCCCTCCAGACATTTTTTTAGGTATCGGGAAAAAGAGGACATCTGGTCAGCCTAAATCACAGAAACAGTAGCAACTTCATTTGTTTCACAATTAGCAGAGTTAACTGATAAATCAAACTCTTACCAAATCCGGTCAGGAGAGGACATAACCATCGTCCCATCCACAAAGGCAAAAACTGCGTCCATATGCAAATTTTTCAAAAATAAATAGAGGATTTCCCAGCTAAAACCGGTGTAGCCATGTTTGTTTTGCTTCAGCTTTCCGCCTCTAGTAGATGAGGTGACATCATATACTCCCCTGCATTTCATTGATCCGAAGCGTTTCCGTATCAAGGTCAAACATATCCCTTGGCAAGAAGTATTTTCGGGGGTTTGTGAATTCACAAATTTTGCTTCAAATCATCTTGTCTGCAAGGTAAACCTGGAGTTGCCATGGATGTCCAAGTTGAGCTGGATAGTAGTAATTTCTGAGTATCCACAAAATGCATCTGGCATATAATGCTTCAATTGTTTGCTAGACTGTATCCATGTAGCATGGATGCTTGTCATCACATCTGCAGAATAGCTTTACAAAACCATGCAACAATGCAAACATTACTCTCTCGCACATACCCATAATAACATCCAATGGCTCTTAATTTAACATGAAAATATCGATTGAGGGCTGCTGAAAACAAAAGCATGGTACAAATTTTTTAGATATTCAGTTGGAAAAAAAATAAACATAAGCATTTAATTACCTTGATTTTCCCATTAAGCACTACTTTGGTCTGTCATATATAAACTTTGTTAAATTATAGAGTAATTTGTGTCGGTTACATGAAGTGTGAAAACATTCAAAGGTCATGAAACTCTCTTCCTAATTTATGTAGCTGGTTCTTATTTTTTCAGAGCTCCTCCACTAATATATACTGCACTCTCTTCCAAAGAACATGTGGAGAACAAGAAAGGATCGATAAGAGCTTTAGTTGCTCTGTAATGATGTCTGTTTTTAGATAATGACCCCATCAGGTCTATATAAGATTACTTACTCTCATTCTGCAAGCAGTGTGAGAGAAAGGAAAGCTCATGTAGAATATTTTTACTCCTCTGCCTCTTGGGTTTGAGGAACAATTTAAAATCCATTTGTCTGATATAAACTGAACTGAACATTGCCAGGGTATCTGCACAGCAGTTTAGATTTAACTGCAGGATTTTGTAGGTCTTACCTAATGTATCATTTGGACAAAAACAAGTGACGTACAATGCAGAAAATATTGATTGCCTCATCTCTCTATCCTTTACTGCTTTTTATTTGTGCACTCTGGGCTTCTCTGACAGTTTTTTCATATTTTTTTGCCTTTCTTGTTTGTGATATCCGCCCTCCTCATCCTCTTCTGGACTCCCTCAGCCAAGTCATGGTTGTCCAGAATGCAAGGTAGTGTGGTGCTGATTGTTTCGTTTCAGTTGATGTGTTTTTTTTTTATTTTGGGAATGTATCCTAGTGGTTTTCCATCCTTCTGTTGTGTCCTTTGTTTTTTGTCCAAATATAGTTTTTATTTAATTCTATGTGACAACACTCACATCATTGCTTTCTCTCTCTTTTATATGCTTACAACTTTCAAACCGATAAATTCTTATGTTTAACATTTTTTATTCCATGAAAGCATCTCAATCAACAGCAACTTTCAAAATACAACTTTTTGTTTTTACAATCATGCTGAGTATTGACCATTTTGCAAACATTTGCAAATGCAATCCATGATCTGAATATGTTGGTTCCAGTATGTTTGCCTGGGGACCAACATGAGAAACATTTTCGTTTTTATCAAATCTGACTACTTTTGTTCCTGTATATCATGAATCATCAGTGCTGATAACAGGAGAAGGATCAAGTATGCTCAGAAGACCACAAACCCAGAATGGAACCAGACTGTAATTTATAAGAACATCCACTTGGAACAGGTAGGCCTACTCAGCATATTCACACATATATGTTGTGTTTGAATCCATCTGCTGTGTCCTCAGTAGGCCAGATTCATTGCCGATTACATCATAGAGAGGAGCCATGGCCTCTTTGGATTAAAAAAAATCCTACTTATCGGGACCACAAATACAGCCTTGTTGGTTGGAAAGATAGGTCAGCAGTATCCACTGTAGCCTAGGGTGTCACCTTATTCATAGTGAGTCCAAGCAAGCCAGCTGCTCTGTGCTCAGAGGAAAAAGGGAAATGGCGCTGAGCAGTGGTGAATATTGTAGGTGCAGTTTATTATAACACATTAACTCATTGAAAATATTTTTTAAATTGTTAGTGAGTCAGATATGCCCGGCGTAATTTTTGGTTTACTGAATGGTTTTATCTGTCCCTGTGCAAATGGGTTTGGTTGACATTTAAGCACAGGTTCCAATATCTCTGCTGTGTGGGGATTTTAAATCTGATATCCACAACAATGGTACTGCTGCTGCTGAAGCTTCTCAGAAATGAAATTTGCATACAGAACAGTTGTGAAACAGTCCATTCTTTACCTGCTTTGTGAGTCAACTGTAATGCTTGCAAGGCGTCAGAGCTTACGCTGAGTAAGGGGCGTTGACAGCTGAAGAAGGCTCCTTATTTTCATGGCTGTTGAAGGACCAAGTTCATGTAGATTCGGGTCCTTCTGAGGTCGCAGCTGCCGAAATCAAACACAGCCATAAACTCATAAACACCCTTAGAGACCTTGCCATAGGACGTTGTGCTTTAGCCCCCTTTGAAATTGCAATGTTTCAGCCTTTTATGAATTTAGGAAGGATTCAGTACTTTTGGCTCTGCCTCAAGGCTGTTATCAGAACCCCAATGAAACCTCTTTTTCACACTTCTAGATCAAGTAGAAATCTTATAGCTCCTATATGGTCCAGAGCCTGGTGGTGATCATAATTTATCATCATCCATGTTTGCAAATAAATGTTCATTCGAACGCATAAGATATAACTTATTCTTTCCTTGCTGATAAAATACACTTGGGTCTAATTTGTAATACCTGACATTATTTACAAATTTTGTTGTTTTTTTTAAGATAAAGAAACAGATTATTTCCTGACACTTATTTACAGAGATAGAATATCTCATTCTCTGACCATCTGTACTCTTTCCTTCTCCTTGTTTAGTTGAAGAAAAAGACATTGGAGGTAACAGTGTGGGACTATGACAGATCCTCCTCCAATGATTTTCTCGGAGAAGTAAGTAGTGTTGGAATCTTATTTACCTTTTAACTTCAATCTCAAACAAAAGGTTATCTTCATTTCATATTTATCTTAATGCTTATATATGCTGTATTACCTCTAGATTATGATTTCATCAATACTCACCAAAACCGTTATTCAAAGTCTGTAAGCAATGTTGTTATTTTATTTTCCTGCATTATGATTTTTTTCTTTTCTTTTTAACAGTCATGTCAATATTTGATACTGTGGCAATTAAAAATCTATCTAAATATGTATTTGTACAATGCAGAATCGAGGCTATTAAAAGATGTTAGCTAGGTTTTTTTGTTTGGCTTTCTGCAGTTCTTTTTCTTTACCCATTCAATGCTTAATCCTTGTATTTTTTTCTGTTTTTCTTCTTTTAACCAAACTTTAGTTTTTGCCTTTTTCCTTTACTTTTATGTGAAATGTGTTAATTAACTTGAGTTACCGCTGTTAACACATGTACTGTGGATTTCACTCTAATACATACAGAAATACATACAAATACAAAAATATATCTCCAGTGTTCATTTTATCAACTATAAGCACTCCTTAAATCTGACTATCTGTAAGAAAGCCGTAGGAGGTTGTGCTTGCAGCACCCTATTCTGGACACACCATCCCCACAATTAAACATTTTAAGAGCAGCATGATATTTCTGTTTGTGATGGAAGAAGTTGGTAAGATAAGTATGCTGTATATTAACGCACATATCTAGCAGAAAATACCTTATAACACTAGCAGCTGTACTCGGGCAAATTGCAGTTTTAGAGGCCTTACTGACTATAAACAGATATCACAACTTTATAATTTTTGTGTTTTCTGAAAGCCATGGGACAGTTTGCCTTAACTTTACAATGATAAACCAGTTTAAGCTTGAGTTTGAAATCACAATCTGGCAAATTCGGAAAAGCTTTAAATGGTATGCACATTTTAATGCAGTAAGGACTGCATTGCAGCATTTTTTCAGCATCTATTTTAATAATTGTGCTTATTCTTTTAACTGTAGCAATGTGTATTTCAGGTTCTCATTGACTTGTCAAACACAGCTCAGCTGGACAACACTCCCCGCTGGCTACCCTTGAAAGAACAAAGTGAAAGTATTGAACACAGCAGAGCTCACCATGCTGCGCAAGCTCCACCAGGGTCTGGGTCAGGACAAGGTCATGGTCAGGGACTTTGCACAGGCCAGAGTCATATGTCAGGGTCTGGACAGGGTCAAGTACCAGGACAGGGAGATTTGAGTCAGGATTCACCTAAAAATTCTGTGATTAAGAGCAGAAGCCATGGAATCTTCCCTGATCCAGCAAAAGGTAAGCTATATAAATTACATACATACATTTTTAAATATCATTGGTATTTGTTCAAAACGTGGCACAACCTAAATATTATTGCTAATGGTATAAAGCTTCATTTAGCCGTTTTTTGATGTTTGCAAGCAGACCAACCCAAGAACAATTCTCTTCCTCTAGACACACAAATGTTACCTTTGGAAAAGTCCCACAGCAGCCCAGGTAGCTCCAAGTCTTCATCTGATGGCCAACTGCGGTCTCATGGCCCTTCTCGAAGTCAAAGCAAGAGTAGTGTCACTCAGGCCCACCTTGAGGATGCTGGGATAGCCATTGCTGCCGCAGAGGCTGCCGTGCAGCAGTCCCGCCTGCAACCAAGTAAATCCCTTCCCTACCGTTAACACAAGTCCCATGACATGCCTCCTTTTTACCTATGCATGCAACTTTTGTTGGGACTGTTTTAATTGAACCTTAATTGCTCTGCATTAACCACCCTTATATTTACCTTTGGACTCTGCTTGGGTCACGTTTTCTCTGTTTATAAATTGTTTTGTGGTGATAGATGATAGTTTCTCTATAAGAGTAAAATTTGTTTATTTTATCAAAAGAAACTTAAAAATAATCAAAGCTAGGAGTCGTGTAAAGTAAAAAAAAAAAAAAGCATGTGCAATAGGCAGTCAGTTAGTAAATGGAAAGAGAGAACATCTTATATTTTAATTAAATTATTTTCTTTAGAAAAAGGTTTAAAAATCTTTGACATGTTTGCAGAGATATTGTCACAAGTCAAGTATGGAACAAATGACAAATAATTTGAATGGAAACATAGGCCTCTATTTATCCCCAATAATAACTCCCCTAATCTCTGAAGAACTGTGCATGTGTCAATCCCAAGATTATGGTTTCTCTTCAGAGCCCAAGTGTGGTCGATAACCAACCTGAATGTAGAAACCAAACTGGGATTGCTTTCCCATACATCTTGATTTAAATATACCATAATTTACCATTAAATCCTTATCTCAATTAGATGTAATAAATATAATGTAAACTAAAGATCTTTTAAAAGATGAGTCATTTTTTTAAGCTTATTGAGCATGCAGTTCAACATTCCCTTGCAACCCTATTACAGTGCTAAGTACTTTGTGGTATCACAGTACAGCTCTGTATGTGCATGTCTGACATGAATGAACCCCAGAAAAAAAAGAAACGCACAGGCACGAATGAAACATCCTTTTCTGACCCCATCTGGTCCCATCATATCCCCACCACTTTAAACAAATGGGACACAAATTGGAGACTACACAAGTTATACCAAGAAACACCAGGAAGGTTTCAAAAGCCATCTGGAGTCTCTCTCTACGCTCATCGACCAGTGAGACTAAAGCTTTCGGCTAACCCATCAGAGCATCTAAGCTATCAAGGGAAGGTGAGGCAACATGGGAAAAATATAATGTCTAAACACACTGATAAACAGGACCAATCCAAAAGTAAAGCTGTTAAAGTAAAAACTAAAATACAGTGATAAAAGTAAATTAAGGGGATAATGTAGTAAACTACTACAAGTATTTTATGCTGCCGTTAAAAAATTATTTCTAACACTGGATTCATATTTATTGTGTTTTCTTATTGTTTAAAATCATATATCTGTGTTCAAAATAACAGCAATCCAACATCAGTTAATAATAATTCTATTTTTTAAAAGAAAACGTGTTTCTATGTTGAAAAACATACCATAATGGCTGTAGTATAAAAACACAAAAGGCTTCACAAACACAACATGAATACTGCTGATCCTAATTAAAAAAACAAAAAAAAAACGCACTTACAATGAAAGTAGAGGCAGCAGACCCAGGGAAGAACCCAGACATCCCTCTCCCCAGCAACTTCTGGTAGAGCACATGTCCGCCTCAGGTCACAATGGACATTTACTCCACTGAAGTGTAAGTTAGACTTCCCTGTTGTCTTCTCTCAGTGGAACTTTAATTTTAGCTGCTTCCAGAGGAAAATATTCAGGAGGCACCTAGATTAGAAATCCAAACCAGCTCAAGTGGCTCTAGTTAAATTCCTATTTGGACATGAAACAAGTTCTTCTCTGGATGTTGGAAATGCCCGCTATGTCCAAAGTAGAGACAAGCCAACTTGAGTGGAAACTCATTTCAACTGTCAAGAGTCAAAATGTATTAAATGCTCAATCATAATTACTCATGAACAAGGCTTGAATATAATTTACCACCTCTGCTTGTGTATTATGAAATTTAGGCAGGATCGGGATGAATCGGCAATAAAGATGAACACACAAACTGTTTCTGCTAGAATTAAAATGTGTC